CCCAAACCCAAACCCAAACCCAAACCCAAACCCAAACCCAACCCCAACCCCAAACCCAAACCCAAACCCAAACCCAAACCCGGGACTAAATTTCATCAACCCCCCTGAAATTTAGATTTTTAATTTAATTTTTTTTTTGACAGAATTTTTTGATGGAGTAGTATTTTGATTAACAATCTGTAAGTTTAAATATAAAAATAAATTATATAGAATTCTCATTTTCTTAAACTTTAAGTGATATTGAACTTTAAGATTTAAGAAATGATATTAATCCTTTTTGAAAAAACTAAAAACATGATCACTCCACTTTTATATATAATACAAAATTCAAAAATAATAAAAGAATATATATCCTAATTCTCTTAATAATGGTTCTATGGTATTACGTAAATTAGAATTTATTGATAATAAAAATTTTAAGAAGAAAAAAAATTTGATAGTATTATGGTTAGATAGAAAATGTATTTGAGTGTTTATGGATTATTACGAAAATCTTAATTTTTTTTCAGATTGATCAAATAATCAAATAGAAGCATAAATTATTAATAATAACTTAATGCTCAAATAGTTGATTATTCGATGATGGATATTTTGCAAAAGAACATGTAATAAAAATATTTTTATCCATACAGAAATTATAGAATTTTTAATTAAACAAATTGAGCTAATAATTACTTTTTAAAGTATCTTTCTATATATTAAATCTTTTAGTCTTTTATTATCTCAATAATTTTGAAGAATTTCCTATTTGTATTTATATGAATATATAATTACTTGAGTATTAAAAAATATTCAATATAAAGTAATAGATTTTATTTGTTAATTATTTTTTAAAACCATTATATATATTAAATATAAAAAAATTGATGATTTTTTAAAAAAATATTTATATTTCCATCTTTATATCATTTGGAATAAAAATACTGGCTAGATCATCTATTTGATTAAAAAACTTTTTACATCTACAGGCTACTTTAGGATAGAAGTTTATTAAAGAGTTAGAAATTCTGTGGTTTGATATAATTGAAAATAAGGATATGTTTTCTGAAAATGTAAAGTTATTGTTTGCTCCTAAATCTATAAAAGTTTCTCCATATAATAAATTATCTTAATTCATTTATAACTGCACTTTTTTAAATACTTATTTTGAATAAAATCTTTTATTGGCTGCTATATTTTAATATTTTTATGCTTGTAGATATATAAAATTATGCCTTTAACATTTTTAATTAATTCCTGAATTAAAATTTTTCTTTTTGTGTATTATCTGTATTAAATCATAAACAGAAATATTTTGCTAAATTGGAAGCAAGAGTTAATCCTATCTTAGTATTTAGAACTATTAATAATATTTTAATAACAATACAGAAACAAATTTATTATTATTTAGAATAAGATGGGAATCTCGATTCTCTTTAAATTAATATTCTACATAGTATATCTTATTTTTTGAAAATAGATTATTTTCTCTTATTTTTTTACCTTTCTATCTTCGCTTATTTTCAACTAAATTATTGTTTAAGAATGTTTAATTATAATTTTCTTTGATCAAATAGATATGACTCTCAGATTAAAATATCATCTATAGGATAAAAAGCAAATAGAAAAAAATTTTTGGTTATGAGAGATAATTGTTTCTTTTAATTGCATGAAATTGGAGTTTTAAATAATGATTTAATTTATATAAATTAATATTTTATTTAATAACATATAAAAACTAATTTAAACTAAAATTTTCAGTTTTAGTTCTCTTGATTGTGAATCTAATTAAAATTATTATTATTTTTTCTTAGTATGTTATTAAAATTCTGTACTATAACTACAAACATATAGCCAACAGCTGGGAAAGAAATTGCTAAAATAATTATCCATCCGACATAAAATATTTTAAAATACATCATGATAAATCCTCCAAAATAAATCTAAAATAAAATTATAAAATACTGAAAAAACAATACTAAGCAAACATTAATCAATTTTATTAAACCATTTGACAAAACAAGGTTAAGTCTTATATTGAAATATAAAAAGCAAAATAAGTAAAAAACTTACAAATGCCATTTAATATTAATATGCTTATTCTTAAACATTTCTAAAGACAGTGCTCAAACCTAGTATCAGCAATTTAGCTTAAGTGAATATTACGACATAATTAGATTTGTATTTTAAATCTAAGGAATAATCATTATATTGAAATATTGGTAATAGATAAGCCTGTAATGGATAATAAATGATACATCCAAAAATTGAAAGTAATATAACGATAAAATGTAAATCTTCATAACATTGTAAATCTTTTTTTCTGATTAACATATAAGGATATTCAGAATAATCACAAATAAAAGCATCTATATAAATTTTCATAATAAATATAAATTAACCACTTATAATTTGAAGTGCCTTATTAATAAAGTATTTTATTTATGGGAAAGATACAATTTGATGATTTTCATCTAAACCATAAGTGTTATTCTCTATTTATTAAGATACCGAAAAGCCTAATAATATATACAAAAAGCTCAAAATCAAAGCAATTATAAGCAATGCTATATAATCCGTTGAGTTAGACTATTCAACTATTTAAAGATTAAAATCATATTAACTTTCTCCAAACCAACCAACCTTTTCATCAAAAGCCAAAAATGATAGAGCTATCATTTCAAATAATTTTATTAAAAATTATAAAATATTGGGAATTGAAATATAGAATTTAATTTCTTATTATTCTTAATTTTTTAAGGCTTAATCAAATTTGTTAGATTGAATTTCAATAATATCAATAATTTCTTAAGCTAATTATTTCCATTGTGGAGTATCTTTAAATTAAATTGTCTCATTTAAAATTTATGGTTATAAACTGCTGATAAGCAATTTGTTTTTTAATTGTTCTAAGAATTTTTTGGGAGTGATCCAAATACATTTATGTATACTGTAACAAAATTTCCAAAATTTAAGTTTAGATGAAATTTAATCAATAGATTCAATAGCATTATCTTATTAAACTTTAATTTCTTCAATTTCATTATCTTTTATTAATTCAAGTCTATAAGGGATTTATTTTATTTTCTAGTTAAAAGGATGGTTTAACTTCGTTTGAATTGTGGTTTAAATAAAATCTGGTTTATGAACTTTTAGTTTAGGATAAAGGTTTTTAGCATATTTTTAAAGTGTTGGATAAAATTCTTTTGATTGTGCTTATAAACATAAACTATTAAAAATAAGTATTGCAAAATCTTCAACTGATAAAGTAAAACCATTGTTCTAATTCAAACTAAATGATTAAAATTTACTTAAAATAAAATCATTTCGTTTTAAATTTAAAATATCTAAAACAATACTCAAATCTTTTTCAAAATATTTATGAAATTTCAACCAAAATTCTTCTACTTTATTTTATAAACTATTTACAATAGCTTTAAAAAACTAATCAGTTTCTACTTTAATTAACTCTGATTAAGATATTTCTAAACTTTTCTAAACTGCTTTAATTCTAAGTAGATTCATATAATATCTTTATTTTAATTTATCTTATTCTAACTAATATTTACCGCATTAACAAAAAAGAATTTGTTTTACAAAATATAAAAATCGATCCCAATAACTTAAAGAAGTTATTACTTAATTTTAATTAGCCATTTATATACTTTCATAATCTAACTTAGATATTAATTTTTTTTGAAAAAATTATCTGTCATTTTCTTATTCATCTTTATTATAAACAGAAATGTTTACTGGATCTCCTTCAATCAAATTTTCTAATAAATTTTGTTTTTACATATTTAAATATTTAAAATAAATTAATGAACATGTTTCTTCATCTGAATATACTCCATACTAAAATAAATTTTGAATTATCTCTTTAAGAATCTTTTTTTTTTTCATTTCTTATTCTTCTTTATTCAAAATAAGAGATTTTAAGATTGCTCTAATATTAATAAAGAATATTATAATTAATATTAAATAAGTAGTAAAGATTTACACAAAAATTGAAAATTCTTTTGTTTAACTTTCAAAATTAATAGCTAAAATAGGTGCAATAACTCCAAAAGGTCCAATAAAAAATATCCAAGCTTAGATAATTATCAATGGTATTATAAATTTTTAATATTTTTCGTAAAGTAAATATTTCTTAAACATAATCAAATTATAATAATAAATTCCTACAAATGGTAAGCAAATAGCATTAATCAATAATGCATAGCTCAAAGTTTTATTACTAATTGTGAGAGCAATAGGAAGTACAATAAAAAACATAAAAATAATTAAATAAATGATATAATTTAGACAACTATTAAAATATTCTTCTGATTCTTAAGAGGTTAAAACATTAATTTTATCTAAAATTAAAGCTTTGTTTATTAAAACAAATAAAGCTATCAAAATCACTAATAAGCCTTACAACTAAAATATAATTATAAAATTACCACTCCTTTTTTAATATTAGACTAATTTGATTGTGGTTCATTCCATACATAATAACATACAGCATAAAATCCAATTGTAAAAATTAATTAATTGAACAATTAGGCATAGTTATTCAAATCAATACATTTAAAAGCAGTTGAAAAATCTTAAAGTTTAAATAGTTTGATAGAATCATATAGATATAATACAATAATTGATATATGATAAATCATAATTATAATTACAGGAATCAATCCTAAACTAATAAATATCCAAAAAAAGATTTATAATGCAGAATAATTCAGTTGATCTACATCAGATAATACATTAAGAAATCCTAAAGGAAAAGCAAAACCAATTAACACAATTCCATAAGTAAACATTTAATAATCTTTTTTTTCTGATTTAAAATATCCTATCATGCTCCATGCTAAATTTATAAATAAAGGAAACATTCCAATTATTTTTGAAACTTATTTAAAATGATCTATATCTTTAAGATAACTCAAACACATTAGACAAATAAAGCCTAAAAATACTACATAAAATAAAGTGCCATATAAATATAAATTTTGAGGGTGATAACCTGAATTTGTCATGTGACTGATTAAAAATAAAAATAATGGTATCATTAAAAAAAAGCTAAAAAAAGTTAGAGCTAATTCTTAATCTCCTTTATTTAATTCGTATAATGTTGAAACAAAACAATATATTTCAAGAATACTATAGCTAACAAAAATCAATATAGGAACTGTTTTTTATAAATTTAATTTTCTTCTTGTATTATCAAAAAGTTCATCTACAATTTATAAAATACTATTTCTGATCAATTAATCTGATTATTTAATGTTTGCTAATAATTTAAGATCCATTTCTATTTAAATTGGACTTAATTTACACAACTCTTAATATATTACAATAGAAAATGCAAATATTATAATAAAAACTGAAGGAGCTGTTAAATTAATTATTTCTTCAATTAAAGTATCAATTTAGTCAAATTCATTCAAAATTGTAATAATAATTTAGAAAAGAAATAAGTACATAACAAATAAGCAAAATCCACATTTATAAATTGCAGCAATTAACTCATTATAAATCCTAGTTAAATAAGTTGTTATTCCTTTATTTATTAAGGATATTATAAATATAAGATAACTTACAATACAAAATCCTATGAGTTAATAATTAGTAGATTAGTCATAGGTTAATTAAATTAATAGTGGAATTAAAATTAATAATATAAATAATATAATCCATAAACTAACCATCTAGATATTTTGGAATCTAAAAATAAAGAAAAATAATTACAGTAGAGAAAAAAATGTTAATAAGGATAAATATTAAGGTAGATTTTATGAAATATCTGATCTAAATTCATTACTTTTAATAGTATCATTGTTACTTAAATTCTATTAATTAAAATAAACATTATACCAATGATTGTAACAAAGCAATTATCCATATAATTATATAAAAGAAAATAATTATTAGATCATAAGTATGAAACTCTATTTAAAGTTTAAATGGTCTACAAAAATTTTCGAAATCTTTCTCATACTGAAATAAAATTTTCTCTAATACATTTCTACTTCTGCTAATACATATTTTTAGATTTCCACTTTAATCATTTTTTTCATTCTTTTTGCCATTTTCTTGATATATATCTAAAATATTTAATAATATTCTTATTTCTTCATTTTATGGTCCTACATAATGATATTCTTTTTTATTTATTGTGTATATTTTATTTATTTAGTGACTCAAATCCTAATTTTCTTAGTCTAAGGCTTAATTTTCAATCATTTTTTATGCTTGCTACATAATTTTATATTTAAATTTAATAATGGCAATATAATTATAAAGTCTTTAAAATAATTAAAAATATTCTACTTAAAATTAGAAGATTTTTATTTTGATAAAAAGATAGATAAAGATATCAATCATTATCCTTTTAAACTTTATGCTAAATTCTTTGATTTTTGCATCAATAATTGATCTGAGTACTAAATTATTAAAAATATCATAATCATTAAGTGCTATAAACTATTAAATAAGATCTAATTATTTATATCTTATTCATAAGTTTTTATGAAATGACAGCTATAAGTTACTATTTTTTTTAGGATAATAAAATGGATTACAAAAAATACTTAAACTTTTTACTTTATACGATTAAACAATACCATCCTTATGCTTAAAGAAGCCATGAGACGTTGTAATAGGATGAAATACTATAATCATATTAGCTAACCTTTCTTTTGAAGCTACTATATAAAATAAAAATAGTATCAAGTGATTCATTTGGCTTAAATAATTAGGTATAATCATTGCTATACCAATAATACATGTAAATATACAAAGATATAATCTACTAAAAGCAACAATATAAAACTTCCTACAAACTTTAAAAACAATCCTTCTTCTAATAGAGTTTTATTTATTTCTTATTTTTGAAATCTAACGACCTATTATTAGAGGTATACAAATTAGTAAATGCAAAAAGTATTACTAACATATTTAATGATACCATAAAATAAAAAGAACTTTATACAAAGTTTCCAAATAATATGCCATTTACAGAATTAATTAGAAAAATCAAATGAAAATACCACTTAATCTCTTAAAATTTTATAGATCCAGCATAACTACTAATTATTGTTACTTTTTTTTCTAATTTTTATATATGAATTGGTTTAGTATTATTAATTAGATTAACTAAATGTACAGAATTTTTGCTCCATCTGATAAAAAAATATGATGCACTCTCCATTCATTAATGATTAATGGATGAAATAATTCAAGAGCAAAAATATTAAAACTTTTTGTTGTTAAATTAAAAATTCAGAACCATTGTTTAAGTCTAATTTATTCCAAAACCCATCAGTTAAATTTTACATAAGCCAAATTTAAACTATTTTTTTAAATGCATGATTATTATCATGATTAAATCATAGTTTAGAGACATTAATTGTTTTGTAATCCATATAAAGATCATAGCTTTGGTCAACTATAATCATTTTTAGTTCAGATTTAGAAATAATAAATGTCTTTCTTTTTTTTGGGATAATTAGGATCAAATGTAACGTAATAAGCCCCACTCATTAATACTTCTATGATTGATGCTACAAAATTGAATATAATTACTAATACCAACATTCTTACCATTGATATAGTTTTGCATTGATGAGATATAACACCTCATAAACATGATAAGTCTCATCAATAATGATAGTCAGTGCTTCTCTTTTTATTTCTTGGAGATAAGATATAACTATAAATATATTTTTTTACCATAAGCAGCTCTATTAATTACATCTTATTCAATTGCAATGTCATTCATGTATTTAACAAGGCTTTGAACTAATATATAATCTATTTTTCCTCAGAAATATTTTTTATACTAGGGTGAATTAGAATAGGTTATTTTAGTTCTGGAAAAAAGTAACCTATATTTTCCTGATTATTACAGCCTTCTTGGTCAAATACGAATTGCAGAATACCTTTCTCCCTAGTAATTAAGCTATTATATTCAGTTATTATATGGTTCAGACTTTATGACAAATATTTCTTTATAAGAATATCATAGTTGAACTTAGCTTCTGATTATGTATAAATACTCTACATAGTCAATTATTTAAATTTGAAGAATTTGAAAAAATCATTAAAATTGGTTTTAATTACATGCCACAGTTTGTGGAAATATTTTTACAATAAATTAAGAGTTGCATATACAAATCTAATATGTATAAAATAAAGTTTATGTTAATTTAATTCTAGAAATAATTGAATAAATATCTTGTAAACACAATTATAAATGGTATCTATTTCAGTATTATAACTGAAATAAAATTCCGATTAATTTAAAGAAAAAATCTAGAGTTTTGTGTATCTTCTAATCCAGGTTCAACTTGTTGTATAAAATACATTCAAGATGAAAGTCCCGAATATAATTGTTTAAGTTAAGCTATTTACAAATCTTAAAACTTTTATCTTAACAGACATTTTAATTCCCTAGTATGCACTAACTCTATTTCTATGAATTATGGTTTAAACAAATTATACATGAATTTTCTGCATAAAAAACATTATTGCAAATAACCTTAAGCAAAAAATTTTATTTTCCATAAAAAGAGTGAGGAATATATTAAAAGTTATTTTTATACAAAAAGATATACTTGAAATTATGGGAACTTTGTCATTCCTATCTTTTTAGAAATTATTTAGGGAAATCTAGTGATTTAATTTTTTGAGGTTGAATTTTTACTTGGATTTAAGAATAAAAACTTTTCAAATTATAATTTTTTTTCTAAAGGAGAAAATAAAAGATTCAAAAAATATTTTAAAAAAATTAAAAATCAACCTCAGGGGTTGATGTTTGAAAAAAGAACATCTTCACTAATAAGATAGAGACTGTTCAATAGAATGGAAATTCACTATCAAAGAAACAAGAGTAATCCAATACAAAATAATACTTCAACATAATTAAACATACAACAAAAAGCAGAAAGATTAAAGCAAGGGTCAATAGCAATTAGATGGAGGTGGCAACCAATTACCAAGACGATAAGGAAGTCAAAAGAAAAAGAAAAATACGAAGAATATTGAAGGTCCCAAATATGAAGAAGGAGAGGCTTAGAAGATAGAAATAAGTATTCAATAAAGCCATATTATATGATTGGTGAGAATGAAAGATATTATGATGAAATGGAACAAATATAGAAACAGGCTACATCTCAGGACGATGGGTTTAAATCAATCTATTTGTGAAGATTCTTTGAAGCTCTGTACTAGTGTAAGTAGAATATTGAACATAGATAATTATCCTCTTGAGGTAAGAAATAGTCTTATTGAAAAGGAAAATGATTAGATCAATCGTAACCCTCTATACTCTAAAGTTTCTGGAATCACTAACCTTACTTTGTTAATTCTTGGAAAAGAAGTCCTTCCAAATATAAAACGAGACCACAGATTAATGATGGCTAAGTTTAAATACTACAACAGTGACTTTGATGAGATAATAGTGAGTGAAGAAGGTCATTTGGGACTTACTTTAAAAATTACTAAAAACAACAATCCATGGATAGAGTTCATAAAAGACAAAGTTTATATGGATTATAATTAAAACATAAAAAATGTTAAAATAATAGAAACATAGGACGGGATTTAATATTAGTTGCTTTGGAACCAGAAAATTTGATTTTTTGATCAAAAAAAGTGTTTACCTATACATACTCAATCTGAGCTTGCTATAAATGTTACTTCTTCCACTTTAGTACCTAAAAAACAAAAAAAATATTTTAAACAAGTATATTTCAATTTATATTTTTTTATCAATGGTTCATTTTCAAAAAATAAACTCATTAAATTTCTTAAATTTTTTTTGAACCATTAATTTCAATTAAGTTCGATCCAAATTTTAATAAATATCATTAAGCTATTTAGAAATTATGTTTCCTTAAGTCCTTATTATCATATTTGGCTTTTAAAGTATTTCATAATTTGATCTAAAGCAACTTAAGATAAAAATGTTGAATTAAAATAGAATCGAAAATTCAATTACGATAGTTTTTAACTCTTAAAATAATAAATGAAGAGTCTTTTATACTTTTATTAAAAAGAATATTAATAGAGATAAAAAATATTAAAATCATTAAATGTTTAATATTTTTTTGGAAACAGATTACAAATTATATAATCAGTTTATGACTACAAAGAATTAGATATAGATTTAAAAAATGGGATGAAAAAACTATTGAATCAATAGATCAATCTTGTGATAATTATTATAAATTTCCAATTTTTTTCATATATTTGATAATATTTAGAAAAATGTTAATTTAAAAAGATAATAAAATTATCTCTTTGTACATGAAATCGAATAATGGTAATGTAAATTTATGATATCTTTCTCTAGTGAAGCTTTATGAAATTATGGTCTAATTAAATATACCAAATATAAATATTAACTATTTTAAATAATTAAAAATTAATATAAAGAGAGATTGTTCTAATAGACATTTTATTGAAATTTGATAAAAAACACCGTGCTATTCGATAATATTTTTTATTCCAAATCAGTATTATATTAATAATCTGATATTAAATAAAAAATCCAAGATAGTGTATATATTAAGTTACCAAATAAAATTTATTAATATTAAAAAATCAAATGATTATAATATTCTTAGCAATCAATGTGATTGGTAAGTTTTCTTATCCTTAATTCAACCAAGAATAAGAAATTTCTTTGTATCCAACAGTAGGAGAATTTTATCAATATTAAATGGGCTTGGAATCAGATTCTTAATTAAAGTGCAAAATGCATCCTGAAGTTCCAAATGTCGAGTTTATCAATTAATGCGAAAAAATATACTAAACAAAAGGAAATTGTAAAATATTATGAAGTTTATTGTAGAATTTAAATCCATGTCATCAAACAGTACACATTTTGGTACTCTGACAAATAAAAATGAAGTGATTATATATGAGTGGAAGAATTCAATGATTCAATAATTTGGATAATCTGTGCCAATTGACCCTTTGTTTAATTGTTTTAACATCAATTTGTCTTTAGAATTTTAAATTTTGGTAGATTGCTATTACAACAATGAATTTCTTTTAATTTAATTAAAAGATTCATAATCAGCAATGGCTTATTCTATAATATCATCATCACCAACTTAAACTAAAATGTAATCAATTTTAAATGGAACAAATGCTTTTTTAGTATACGCATAATATTTTTAGAAATATACAATTCTCTCACTAATTTCATCATAATTTTTAAATCTAAGTAGCTTGAATTAAACATTTGTTGATTTTGATATCCCAATTACAATAAGCCCTAATATTTATCCAATTACTTCCAATATTATTTTCCAGTATACGATATCTCCTGATTCTAAATTTCTTTACAAAACAAAGATGACCATGCATGGTAGTAGTAGTTTTAATACTATAAGTGCTTATTACAATTTATGGAGTTGTTCTTAGTGCGATCAATTATAGATTTCATATTTTTAAGCCTAAAGCAATTAGATATGGACAGGTTCATTATTTGGATGTGAAAGTGAAATAAAATAGGTAGTTTTAAATGAATTTACTATATCTGCGAAGCCGATTTTAAAAATACTCTAAAGTAACTAATTTATAATAAATTAATATACTGATTAAATGCAGATTAGGGAATAAAACACATAACAAGATTATTTTTATTATCTATTATAAAATTAAAAGAACTCTCTATTATATTTGAATTCTGATAATGAATTATTTTCATTTAATTAAGAGATTGAAGTTTATAAAATTAGTTATCCATTCTTAGAAATCAACTTAACTACTAATGAAAATGTAGAATAAAATCATCCTTTTTAACTTATATGTCTAAGTGAGGGATAACAACAACGCATTTACAATTACTATAATTTTTTTCTTTAAGTATTACCTTAGAATGATACAAATATATAGATAATGTTTAATTAAGATTTCCAGTAGTATTAAACTTTATTTAACTATTATTCATACACTTAATTTAATAGTTTTTCAGGACAATTATTAAATTATAGGCCAAACTACAATGAAACTTATTTAAATTTTTAATTTTTAACTTTTTCCAAAGTTGGTGAAATACTTTAGATTTATTAATTGGTATAATTACTTTCAATAATTTAAACTTAACAATAATATCTAATAGGATATGGTAATAATACACTTAATCTATTACTTTGCAATTAAAAGAACAGTACTCAATTGTAATATTGCTAAACACTAGACTCAATTTCGTTCTCTCAAAATGTCAGTTCTTTATAAGTTGCTTTTAGTTTATATCCTCCCAAAATTCTTATTGGACTCAGTTCTAATGATACAATTTATTTATTTTAATACTAGAATAATTCTAACTCTTCAATGACATAATCAAATTATACCTTTGAATAATAATTCTCAGATTTTGTATTAACATATAATAGTATTATAGTTCTAATTTAACATCAAGAAATTCAAATCTTAGCATTTAATAATCAAAATAACTATACTTTAAATTAATAGTCAATAAATAAATTGTTTAATAGCATTCAGTTCAATCCTCTATAAATTATTGTGAATTCTTAATTCTAATCTTCTTTTTTATACATCAATAATGTTAATGATGTCATCATAATATCTATTGATTAGAATAGCTTACCAATACCAATTACAACTATTGGTGTCAATTTCACAATAGAATTAATAAATTTAGTAAGCTAATAATTGATATTATCATTAATCTGTAATAATCAACAAAATATTTGCTTCTAAATTTGGAATGTGTAATAATTGCCAAAATACTATTATGTAAAGAATCTACCTAGTGTAAATTTTGATAATAACATAATAATCTAATCTGATAACTTATTCTTCTATGTTACTTTTAGCAATCAAACTGTTTATGTTTATAATCCTCAATTATCATATCATATGAGTTTATATTATGTTTTATAATTAAATTCATCCATTTAAGGTAGCTAATATTTGGGTTTACAAAAAAATAGCCAAATTGAAATGTCGTTGATAATTTCTAACAATAGTTTATTTATACTTAGTGATATATAAGTTGTAAATCTAACTATTTAATAGTAAATATAAACCTTTAACAATTCAATAAGTTACCCATAATTTATTTATAACTATACTATAACTTCATAGTTAAATGACACAGCCTTCTAGTAAACTCCAAATTAAAGTATGGCTTTATATTCAAATTTCACAGTATTATAAAATTTAACAAATATATCAGTGAGTATAACTTCAGAGAATATAATCCCTGAGTCTAAAAATTTCACATTTCCAATGAATCTAATTCTTGATAGACAAATAGGATAATGTTATCTAAATAACAGCTATGATTAAAACAAATTTTGCCAGCTAACTTAAATTTCTCATTAATATTATAACATTTCTAATATTCAAAATTATTCCTTAATTACTTCAATAAATAACGAAATTTTTGCTTTACAGAATATCTCTTACATTTAAACTGTAAATAGTGATTTAACTCCTTAATTTAGTCTTGATTATTCATATCTAAATTTGAGTGTTTGTGATTAATCAACATCATCTAATTACACGTTATATTCAATTTGTTATAATGATACTTAATTTTATTTACTTAATTTTACACTTAGTTAGTAAGGCAATATAACAAATCTAAATATTATTAAAATGCCTTAAAACTTTACATCATTTTATTAAATGAGTAGCATTTTAAATTAATTTTTTATTGTAGGTTAAGAAGACTCAAAAATTATGTATTTGTATTGGCTTAACTAATCCAGCAACACCTTCTAAAATATATCCAATGGATGTCAAGGTTTTTCTATTAAATAACTAAAATAAAACACTTTCGAAGATATTTAATCGTAATAAATACTTATATATTATGTTTATATGTCATAAGTGAATTATACGATAATGACAATTGATGATTAAGGAATTAAATTACAAAATTCTGTTACTGTTTAATTGTATTATTGCAATCAATAATCAATTTGCTTTAAAGATAATTAACAACAGTATTTCGGCATTTTAATAATTGAAATAGAATTAAACAGCGTAATAATACTTGTAAGTAATATTAATTTTAGTTGCATTGTTATTACAAGAATTATTAAATCCAAATTTAAGAATCAAAATACTTAAGTAGGCAGAATCTATAGAACTATTCCAAAATATGGTCCTTATCGTAATACTCTTAATTCTTTTTATTAAAATGGGGTTTTAATGCAACAATTTAGTAGCAAAAATCTATATTATTTTAATATAGGAGTTTATTATTTGAATAATCTTTTAGATGAAAATTTGCTAGAGCCCATTCTAATGTAAGGTTTAATCTATTCAAAAAACTCTTATGCAATGGTTGTAAATTAAGAATAGCAAAGTGTTACAACAGTTTATATTTATAACAATTTTATCTATAGTTACACTTTTAGTACAAGCTGGAATGTATCTTGCCTACTTTATAGCGACATCATATATGTTCCAATATTTTGTTAGAACAATTTTTCAAATGGTACTTATTTGGTTACATTTAATCTGCCTCCGCATTTTCGAATAAACTTTGGTCCATCAGAGTATAGCCTTTTGGCCATCATTTTTTTACTGCTTCTGTATTTTTACATTAGATTTACATAAAGGACAAAAACCTTGGAAGATATTAATTCTGAAATTGAATTATGATAATTTAAAATTTAACATATTTATATAAATACATAATCATTTTAAAACTCAATGTTCTAGTTCAGATTGTTAGGATAATTTTAAATTTGAGGCTTTTAATAACTAAACATCTATAATCTCTGTTTGTTTCATTCTAAGTTTTCATATCTCTTAATATATTTTTTACACTTAACAGAGTTTTTTTTGGCTCTGTATTATTTTTCTTTGTCTAAATTGTGTGATTCATTTCTATAATAAAATATTAATGTGTTTTTAGAAGTTTAAAGTAAGTGCTAAATTTTAAGAAATTTATAATAACTTTAAGTAAAATTTTTTCAACTTTCTTTTAAGGAGAGTAAAAACAACGACTTAATCTTCAATGCCTTTTATTACAAAGCAACAAATTTTTAAATGTATATCATAAGGTGTGTAAAACCCCATTTTAGCAAATTCTCTAATTTACAATATCATTGAGTTTAACAAATAAATATTCATATCCTGCGTTATGTATAAATATTAAATAGGTTACTTTACGATTAAAGTTTCGATCATTAAATAATTTAGTAAATAAGAATATATTCGTAATTTAATGTAATTTTGTATAAATATACTCCTAATATTAATAATACATTCAGTAAATAGAATATGCTGCACAAATTCAGCATCTTTATGTTTAGGTCCTACAAGGTTATATTACTTCAATAAAATTCAGAAATATAAATAGAAATTTGTTAAGAAGATTTACAAATAAAAAAATAAAATAGCAAATTCATTAAATGAAGGATTAGAATAATAATAAAGTCCGAGAAATATTGAATAAAATAATTATCAATAGGCTCAATATTTTTTTTTTGGAGTCATTTTTTGGGATGATTTTTTTTAGAAATTTTCATTACTCATATATTTTGAAGTTTAAACAGTATAGAAGTTTGAGAGAAAAGTTTGAACTATTTTGATAAGAATTTGAGTTGATTTTAAAAAAAATTTGGTTAAACACAACTTTTCCCTTAAAAACAATCTCAAAATAAACCTTGTATTTAAGATTATTCTAAAACAAATCAATGTTAATTAATAAAATTTGCAGAACTAAACTCTAATTAAACTTGCTATTTTATTAAATCTTATATCTATTCTACATAAAATTAATTATCAGAGCATATGGTAGTAAAGTATCTAAAAGGGAGATATGTATTCTGAAATATTCTGAGTGAATTAGCTTGATAAATAGCATGATGTCTTTTCCATAAAAGAAACAAAAATTATTTTTAAAGTTTGTTTAGAAATTATCGTTTGGTGTTATATAATAACCAAATGGATGATTATGACTTAATTTTTTTTAACCAAGAAGTTTTATTTCTAATAAGTTAATAGTATTTTTATTCCTTAAGATGCATTTGAAATAAAATAAATTTAAATTAATATTTTAACAAATTTGATTAATGACATAAAACCCAGATTGTTACGCTGACTTTACAGGAATGGGTGAGTCGCGCTCATATTTAGAAAAAAGCAAGATGAGGATAAATTAGCCCAGCTGTCTGACTTACCTTTGAATAAATTAATGTAAGAGATGCTACAGATAAAAAATATTGATGAAAGATACCAAAGATAATTCATAGTATAATTATTTCATTCATCATTTTTCTTGATTATTTTCTTAATAAATAGTTCCTCTTTAAATATCTATTTAACATTTTGATTGCCAAAAAATAAACTTGAATATTATAATAGTTTACTAAACATTGAAATTAGAAATTATAATTTTCTTTCTTTTATAGTTCTAAAAGAAGAAGATTAAGATTTTTAATGTACAATAATAATAAAGAATCCAATCTTATAAAATAAGAATATAATTACTGATAAACTAATAGTGTTTTGTGTAAAAACTTTTTTAGAGTTGAATGTTTCATCATCATTAAAGAACTTTCTTACAAAATAAGATATTTCTCTATTGTTGCTCTATTAAATTTATTTGATCACATCTACCATCGACCGAAATTTTATTTATATTATTACGATAACATCATAATCTTTTGTGCTTTTAACTATAGACTTAAATGGCTACTAAAAATGTGAATGAAAATCGTGTTTAAATTGATGATTCTCATTAATTAAAATATAAACTGAATTAAATTAAAGAGAAATTAAAGTATATGATTTAAATATTAATCTATATTAAGTAAAATATATCTTTTTAGTAATATTCTTTAGTTTTACTTTTTAAGTATCTAAAATCAATAATAATATAATATGAATAATCTTGATTTTAATTCATTTGGAAAGACGATGATTCTATTATGAGTTGATTAATCTGTATATTGTTAATTAATATAATTAATAACACTTGAATAAATAATAAAATGAAGTTTTTGCTACAAATTTACTAATGTATTTTCTAATCTTTTATAAACAAAACTTCTTAATATTATGCTAATATTAGAATTTAAATTTAATTTCTAGCATAATACTCTCAAATAATTTACTTAGTATTGATAGATTTTTCTTTAATATACGAGAAATTACAATTAGTTTCTCTATTGAAATTATAATTAATTTGAGACAATTAAATTTTTTAAATAATCTGTAGCAATATTAACAAAATAATGATAAATTTAATTATAAGGAATTGATTTAATCTTCTCGAATTATAAATTTTAATATTATTATAAAAATCTCTAAGTTCAATATTTTTAGGAAATTTTAAAAAGGGTTGAGCATTTTTTTTAAATCAATTTTGAAATTTACCATGTTTAGATAATGATAATACATTTCTTTAAGTATGTATAATTTGATATATGATTTAACTTTCTGAAATAAATATTATATTCCCATTAAAAATGCGAGTAATAAGCTAAAATTGCTTTCAAATAGTTCTGAAATATTAAGAAAACCTAAATGACATTGTAAAATTTTTAAAAGTAAACAATGAATTCATTAATTGAGAGACTTACTATTAAATTTTTAGTTTTTTATGGAAAGAAATGAGTTAATATTTTGAAATTTTTTTAATCAAATTTAAAAAGTTTACATAATGATGACGATTTTTTTTTTAAAGTTGCTATTGATAATGCAATTGATTAAGTAATTAATATAATCAAATATAGACAAGTTGTAAGTGAGTGCAAGTTTTTCTCTTATTAACCAATCTTCAATGTACCAAGATTTGAGATTGAAGAATATTTATCTGAATATATAATTAAATAACAAGAGAATATTGGATATGGGATATGGATGAAATATTTACCATTTAAAGAAATTGATGATTAATGTATCAATTATTTTATTAACATTTATAGCTAATCGTTCTTCATTATAATATAATTATGCTAATTATTAATAGATAATATAAGGAGGACAGTTTATATATTCTATAGAATAGAAAGAAACTATGCAGAGTATAATGATTATTTCTGTAAACATCGATCCAATAAGGGAAATAATTGAACATCATATTGTTTATACTTTTGAATCAACATCAAATACTTTATAATTTACTTTTGATAATGAAATATATGAAGGATTATGGATTATGTTTTTTGTTTATATTGATGCATTATAAAAAAAAACAACATTTGGATTTTATAATGAAAAATAAGGAAAATATACAAAAGTGATACATGAAATACCTTTATTTGAATAAAAAATAAAACATATTTAAGGAGGACTTTATTAATATATAGACTAAGGATAAAAATTAATTATATTAAGTTAATTTACTGGAAGATTATCTTATGCTTTTACTTCAAAATAGGAGGACATTTTTATTGACATAAATAATTGTTTTAATAATTTTATGATGAATTTTTATTGTCCATCTTGTTATTATGTTTTAACAAATTATAATTAAGAAATGAAAGGAAATAAATACATAAATTAGACAATAATTGAATTAGATTCTCCTAAATATGCAATTCATGGATGGATAATTTTAAACTCAATAAATTAACCTTATCTTGAGACTGAAATTTTTAGAATAACAATTAATAAAGATTATAATGATGATCATAATTTAGGAGATAGAGTTGCTCATCTAAAATATTATTAAAGTAAAATTCCAGGAGAAAATGGTTTTGAAATTTCCACATATTCTTATTAATTTCCAGTTAAAGCAAGATATAAAAGCTAAGAAGCTGATAAAATACGAGAATATAAAGATTACTATTCAGAACTATTTATTTAATGGCATTACATTTAGTATGAATTTGGATCAGAAAATAATAATGGATAACCTTTATTTTAAATTTACTTTCCTTCATTAAATTTAATTAGAACATTTTCATGGAGTAAATCAATAAGACATTTTAAAGGAGTCTAGTTTTAGATATTTTTAGGTGGAGATGACTATGTTAATTCCTATATGTAAGGATTCATAAGTGAAATGATATTTACAGTTTTTTGTGAATCAGTGCCAACAATGAGTCCTCCTTGTCATATAACTTGTAATACTTGTAATGGTCCTACAAAATAAAATTGTCTGAGTTGTTCTGAAAATATGTTTAGATATTTATACAAAGTTGAAAACTCTTGTTTATGTTAAGATGGTTACTATGAAAATGATTCTGGATCTTGCGAATATGTAAATGCATTATTTCCTTATATATCTAAATAAGAATTTCAGATTGGATGCCATTTAGAAGGATATGAAATTTGTGATAATGATTAGATAATATGTTCATTTGGATATTTTAAGTATAATAAACGATGTATTTAATGGTAAAAATATTCTATATTTTAGTCCAAATTATAATGATATAAATTCTTACACACATTTCTAATGTTTTAATTGTATTACATCACCATCTGAATTTGCGTAAAATTTTATTTGTTATGAAGAAGCTTAAACTTTTTAATTCAATTAAGACTTTATTTATGATATCAAATAAAAAAAATTAGAAAAAATTAGCTATTATGAAATATCTGTTGGTTTAGATTAAAACTTTGAATTAAAGTTATGTGTTAATTGTATTGGAAAAAACAAGTGTAAACCTGGTTATTATTATTCAAATAATTAATGTTAAAAATGTATAGAAGGTTGTTAAGCTTGTTCAAATATTAATAATTGTGATTAATGTTACTCAAATTATTATAAAGATATTGAAAATAACTGTTAATTATGTAAAATTTGTGAAAGTTGTACTGCATTTAGAGATGATATCTATTGTGTTACTTGTAAAGAGAAATAAATATTAGTAATTGCGACTTGCCTTTATTGTGGAAGGAATTGCAATAGTTGCGATGAAAAATAATACTGCAATTATTGTATAGGATCTCCATAAGAATATTATATTTCTTTAGATGGTATCAATTGTAATATTTGCTCTATAGATAATTGTATATATTGTTTTGAGTATATTGTAAACAACAACATTTATACAACTTCATTAGATATTTAATTTTCAATATTTAATTCAGATTTTCGTTAAGTTAATTTAGGTTGTGCTTTATGCAAAAAAAATTACTTTTATAATTAGATCACTTAAAAATGTGAATTATAATTAAGTTAAACTAATTGTGACTTTGCTCTTATCCTAATATCTAATTTAGAACAGAAATGTATCATTGGTTTGCAAAATTCAGATGCAATTTAAGTTTCTTTTTGTTAAGATATTCAGTTTTGTTTAGAATGTATAAATGATTACAATCCTAATAATAATTTTTGTATTGTTTGTGAAGATGGCTATTATTCAAATATTTTAACAGGTTAATGCAATCTTTGTCCGAATATTTGTAAAACATGTATTTAATAAAATAAAAAATATCGAGATTATTGGAAATGGAATATTAAAGCATTTTATAAGTTCTTTCTAAATACTAATAATAATCATCCATTTGAAGTCTTTGCGTCTGTACAAGCAGAAAAAGATATGGAAATCATATGCACCTCATGTCTTATTGGTTATATTTTGAATGATTTTAAATGTATTTAAGACTGTCTTAAAGGTTGTTTAAAATGTTAAATAATTAATGGTAAATCTACTTGTATTTAATGTCAAGAAACATCTTCTGGTTTCTTAAAAAGTTATAATTAATATTAAAATTGCTTAAATTGTCCAGCCAATTGTCTAGCCTGTTTATAAAGAAAGGAATCAGAAATTGCTAAAATTAATCCCTATTTTTTATTAACTAGTTCTAATTAATATTTAACAAGAATTTGTTATGAAAAATCATAGAAGAACACTGAATAAAATTCTTATTATTATGATTCTTTTACATAAACTATTACAACTTGTAATTAATATTCAAAATGTTATAACAAAATAATTTTTAAATAAAATTTGTTTTGTGAGTATTCAGATTATTTTTAGAAGATGTCATAATCAAGTGATTTATAATTTGAAAAGAACAATTTACCTCTAGATAGATTTTTTTATGATTATTACATTAATGCGTTTGAATCTCCATCATTATATGACTATTTAAATCAAATTTCAGTTAAATATGTCTCTTATTAATTCATTTTGATATAAGGTAACACAGAAGAATGTCTTATAAAAGATAAACTTAATATATATTCAACTTTACTACAAAATGTATTTTCTTTATAGTAAATTGATATAAGTTTTATTGGAGAAAGGCAATCTACAAAATTAAAAATTGAGTCATATGTTAATTTGAGTAATTACACATCGGTAACATTTCAAAATATTTAATTTAACTTTGGTCAAAGCTTATAATCCTCTTCTGATCACACTATCATTAACTTATATAATTTAAAATCAAACTTAATCTTATAATTAATAAACTGTATTTTTACTACCTAAAATGGTTAAAACAAAAACTACACTCTTTAAATTATTTCAAATATTCCATATTCACTACAAATTGACAATTTAATTTTCAAAAATTTTTATATTTTCTCCTCCAATTTATTTTAATTTTTTGCTTCACAAAGTAATATGGAAAATAATTATCTGAATTTGAAAAATTTAACTATCCAAAATTCATTCTTTTTCAATTCAACATTATTTAATTTTATTGCTAATGTTAACAATTTAAATTATTATTCCAATTTTTCCAAAATTGATATAATAAACAGTAAATTTATTTAATCTAATTTCATTTTATGTAGCAGCCTTTTAAATTTTACAACAGGTATTATGTATGTTAATCATTTATGGTTATAAAATCTATAAATGATAAATAGATCAAATTTCTTTTAATCAAATTGTGGGAAATTAGTGCAATTGTAATTAATTTAGCTAGATAATTGCGCCTTTATAGATAACTCAAGATTTTATTCTTCAAATATCATTAGAATTCAAAATTTAATTTTTAATAATAGTTTTCTTCTTAATAGTTATTTAATAATAAATAATGTAGATAATACTAGGTAACAAGAAACTTAGATTAATACATCCGAAATTTTAATAAAGTCTTGTTAATTTCTGAATAATAAATATGATAATCCTCAATAAATCATACTAATCAAATAATATTAAGAAACGACTCGTTTTTAACTTCTTTTGAAAAATTTATTGTTATCTAATAATAGTCTAACTAACAAATTATAGCAAAATTAAATATCATATTATTAATCCACAATTTATATTGAATGTTAAATCTGTATTATATAGAATATTCAAATTTAAAGAGGGTAAGGATTACCAGAAATAAGCATTCTTAATTCTGAAAATTTGATGATAAAAAATTTCACAATTTCTTAAGATTAATAATATACTTCAAAAACTTTGCATACTTCAATAGATTGTGTATAAAAGTTCGCAATTATGGATTTATATTTCATTCTTTATATTGGGCAATACTAAATTGTATAGATAGATTAATTTTATATTTATAATTGTTTAAGTTTCAATAATGCTTACATAATTTTAAAAGGTTATGAAATAATGGATATATAAATAAATGAGTCCATAATAATTTAGAACTCTAATTTTTATGATAATACATTAATAATTACTGATGCTAATAAAAATGTTGCCCTAATCTCTTTAAGATCATCACAATAATGTTATATAAATATTTCAAATTCTAATTTTGAAAATAATCATTTAAATGAATATTTTCAAGATCTAACAAGCATTTCCGCAAGTACAATATTTATAACTCTATAATAAGGGTTTGCTTTTATAAAGAATTCCACATTTCTTAATAATAGAGTTACAAATTCAAGTGATTCAATTATTTATATTAAATCAAAGGTTTTGCATATAGAAGAGTTACAGTTTATTAGCAACAGTATAACAAATCTGACTTCTATTGTTAAAAGCTTACTTTTTCCTTTAACATAGAATATAAGTTTATTTGATTTTGATGCAGCATTCCCAATTAAATCAAATGGTGGAAATGGATAATTTATAGTCTAGGAACTAATAATCTATAATATTAGTATTAATACATCTAATTCATAATTTGGAGGAGGGTTCTATATTGCTACATAAGGAATGAGCATTATTCAAATAGCAAACTCTGTTTTTTTTAACACTTAAGCTCAGTTATAGAATTCTGCTTTTTCTAAAGGAGGATGCCTCTATATTGATGCTTCTTTGTCTTAATTAACATTTTCTATTACAAATTCATCAATTGATACTTCATTAGCAAAATTAGAGGGAGGAGGTATTTATATTATTCCATCTGAAATTAAAAATTAAATTGAGTTTTTCGATCTAAAAATTAAAGATTGCTTTTCTTTGAAAAACTCATTTTTTTCTTATTCCTCTGGTAAAATTGAAAATTTAGTTTCAAATATAAAATTTTAAAGTTTAAATTTTATTCAAACACAATAGGGTTTGTTTATGTATCTATCTATGTTTGAGAAAATAACTAATACATAAGCTAATTAAATGGCAAATTCAAACCCATTAATATATGCTGACTTTTGTAATTTTACATTGTAAAATTGTAACTTTTATTCAACTTATATTTAATTTTTGTTGTATATAGAACAAGCTGATAATATTCTGTTAGCTAACGTTAAAGTTATCAATAGCTCAATTTTAAATTCTCCTTTATTCAAAATAAATTTAAAGAAAGGTAATTTTTAATTTATTAATCCTAGAATTTCCGGGGTAATTAAAAATTTTTAATTTATTACTTAGTAATGTTCTATCTTTTAAACAGATTTAAGAAGAAATTTGTAGCATAGAAATTCAAACATTAGAAACTTAAATTTCTTGTCCATATGAATCTTAGAATGATATTATTAATATAAAGGAACCAGAATTTACTTTTTAAAGATCAAATCAACTACTTTGTAATCAAATTTTAATATTTTCAAGTATTGGATTTAATTTTAGTCTTTTTGAAATCGACTAATTAAATTCTAAACACAAATTAATTTTGAATAAAGTAAGCTTTCAAAATTCAATTTGTGAAACATGTTAGTTTGGTCTTTTAAGAATTCTTGGCTTTGATTAAATTTAAGCAACTAATATGAATTTTTCATATATTTAGATAGAAAATTGTAAATGTGGAAATACAGGATGTCTATCAATTATAAGATCAGTTGATGTACCAATCAATGAAAATGATTTATAAATTAATAATCGTTTATTGAGAGAGATTAATTATGATAAAATAGAAAGCTAAATGAATTAATAGTTATTAATAGCTAGAAGTTAATTTAAAAATAATTCAGCACTATTAGGAGGTTCATTATTTTTAGTTGATGTTGAAACATTAATCAGATAATGCGTATTTTATTTTAATTCTGCTCAAAAAGGAGGAGCTATCTACTTTAACTCTTAAGAAAAGTAATTGTTAATATTAGAAACTGATATATCATTTAATTTTGCATAAATTGGTGGAGGATTGTTCATTATTTCCCAGTATTTATAATAAACAAAAGAATTAGATGTTATTTTGATTAATAATAATTCAACTCTTTATGGTAATGATGTATTAGAGAAACCAAGAACTCTAACATTATCATTAGATGGAGGATTAACTTTTTTAGATAAAAAAACCTTAATTAGTTCTGAGACTGAATTAATTGAACAAATAATAATCAATCCTTATAAAACTTATGGGATTCCAAATAAGTTAATTTTTTTGACATTACCATCTGGATAACCAATATCAAATTATGAATATTTTGATCGATTCACTTTTGAAACTATTTCATATGAATATAAATTTAGAATTATAGTTTTAGACAAGTTTTAAAAGTAAACAAAAGGATTAAATACATTTTAATGTCAGCTATCTCCTATAGTCTATAATTTCACTGCTTAAGCTGAATAACTAGATACTAAATTTAGTCTATCTTTTTATAATGTTACTTATAATTAATCTAGTGGAGATTATAATTTAGATAATCTAATTATTTATTTTAATCCAAATTATGGTAAAGATTTGGTTTTAAGATTATATATATCATGTGATTTTGTTTAAATACCATTATATGATGATAAACCTCCTTTTTTGATAAAAAAAAGTTTAGATTTATACAAAATATTTGTTGACATTTAAACATTTCCATGCTAAATTGGAGAATTTTTGAATTATACTTCAGGAGGATGTGTTATTTGTGATGCTTATAAAAATTAATATTCTGTAAAATTAGAAGCTATCAGTTGCAGTTTTAAGGATGATTCAAAAATAAATTCAATTAAATCATAAATGATTGAATTAAGAAATAATTATTGGAGAGCCTATTATTATAGTGATGTGATTGAATATTGTTACAATTTTCCATTAAATTGTAAAGGAGGATGGATACCAGGAGAATTATCTTGTTTATTAGGACATATTGGAGCTTTATGTGAATAATGTGATTTATATAATGTAAGAGGTGATGGCTAATTTTCAATAAGTTAAGAATTTCAATGTGGAAATTGTAATTAAATTTCCTATAACATTATAATTACAATATTAATTAGTCTATGGACTATATTTTCAGTATTAATATCAGTTACTAGTACTGTTGAAATGCTGAAAGATTTTATTAGAGGTTTAAGAATAAAGTTTTTTGGAGTCAATCATATTATTAAAGAAGCTTCACCTGCTATTTTAATTAAAATATTTACAAATTACTTATAAATAATCTAAGCCATCTCAAATTTTTAATTAGAAGTACCTTATAATCTACTTGTTGTACTAGAAGGTTTTGCTAATCCTATTGGATCTATGGTTTACTCATTAGATTGTTTCATCATAGATTTTTCTAGCATTTCAATTATTTATTTTAAAATAATTTGGAGTTTGATTATGGCATCCTTTTATTTAAAGACTTTTTTTCTTTTGCTTGGAATTGCTATTTCTACAAAACTCATTAGGCTTGAAATTTCATATATTTCAACTCCTTTTATTTATTTATTCATTTATTTATAACCTAATTTAGTTGGTTAGATAATTTCATTATTATCTTATAGAAAGATTTCTGAATAGTATTGGATTTAGGGAAATGTCTCATATAGATATGATACAGAATTTCATTAAAAATGGACTTATTCTTTTTGTCTACCTCTATTAATACTATTTGGTTTTTTAATTCCAAGTTTTTTATTTTATGGACTATTTAAAAATAATAAACAATTAGATAAAATAATCATAAGAAAAACATGGGGATATTTATATAATGAATACAAAATTTATGCCTATTATTGGGAAACATTGAAGATTATTTAAAAGGAAGCAATAATAATAGTACTAATTTACTATCATGATCATATATAAATTAAAGCTTCGATCGTCTTTCTTATATTATTTGGTTATAGCTTTTTAACTACTTCTTATAAACCGTATACAACTGGATAATTAAACAGATTAGACACCCAATCTACAATCATTTGTGCTTTATCAATTATTGTGGCCAGTTGTATCTATACTGCCTAATAATAAAGTTTAAATGAACTTATCTTACCTTCTTACATTATAATAGGCTCAGTTAATTCTTTTTATGTTATAAAAATGCTAATATAAATTATTTTATCATATTTTAACAAACTAGACAAAATATTTGAAAAGTTTTCAGGAACGATTATAAGAAATTTTCCTCATATAATTTCACATTATCCTAAAATTTATAACTTTTTAGAAGGGAGGAAATAAAAACAATTAAGAATTAGAAGAAAATACAGTTAATTAAGGGATTATCTTTTACCTAAAGCTAAACGAATTCTACAATTTAAGAAGTATTATTATTATGAATTAATAGGCTTAATGAAAAAGTTCCATCTCTTAATCAAATTAGTTTAAAGCGGTTGGAACTAGAATAAAATTTAATTATAACACCATAAATTAAAAGTCTTTAGAGTGAAGTAGCCTTAAATTCAAGTTAATTACTATCAGAAAGAATGAACTCAAAACAATTAATGAAAGATTCTGAAACTAACTAAAAATCCTTGTTTTACATTTTTCAAAAAGCTAATGACAAAAAATATAATTAGAACTCTAAAATATGAAAAATACTCATCATGATTTAATTTATAAAATTAAATTTTTATATAAAATATATAATTATTTTATATTATTTTTATGAATTAAATTAAATTAGGATTATCTTTAAAAAAAATACATTATTTTTTTGTTATAATAATTGATATTAATTACTTTATTATCTAGTATTAAAAATGTTTAAGGATTATTAATAATAAAAATATATTAGTCTATTTGATTTTGGATATTTGAATTTATCAACTTTAAAAACTGCTGCTTGATAGAAATTAAATATAATTAAAATTATTGAAATTTTAAAATGAATTTAACCAGAACAGAAAAAGAATTTATGTGTATAGAACATAATGAACCTGCTCTATTTATTGATATTTCATAGAAAAGCTCAAACTTACGAAACCGATGCCTATAATGTGTAGGGAAAGAAATGTCATAATGGATTGATATTCATGAAGCTGGAAAACATTTTGAAAGTATAAAAAGTGTTGTTTGGAATGAGAGATTAGCTATTCATTTGAATAATCTAGACATTTTGTAATAATTAAAAGAATAGCTTAAATAATTGAAAATAAAATCCAATTAGAGTCTTGATAAATCAATTCTAAACATTGATTAATAAATTTAATTCATATAAGTTGGAATGGAGAAAGAAAATAGATAAATAAATGAATTGAAAACATCAGATATAGATTAGGATGGATATTAACAAAGTAGTTAATTGATATCATTTATTGATTATAGAGAAATATAATCTATGAATAGAGAATAATTTAAAAGATTAAAAATAGATTAAAATTTAATTTAACTTGAAGAAAGTATTATGTAAATTCAACAATGTCAAAAAAGTTCAATAGAAGATGTTTTTGAAACCTTTTCTGATAAAATGTATCATTCTAGTAATGTATCTATCTCAACTTGGCATTGTGAAAGTCATAATAATTAGGCAGTTTTTATTGATTTAAATGAATAGGCCACTGTACCTAATAGATTAGCTTGTATTGATTGTGTTCCTTAATATCCTATTTAATATACTAAATTAGATCATTTAAATTAATTATGGAGAAGATTTATAGAATAGAATTTAAAATACTCAGAATTATTGTAGATCAATATTTCTAACAAAACTTAAAAGTCAATATCTAAATATTCAGTATTTAAAGAAATCATTAATGAATTAATTATATAATAATCTTAAGAAATATCATAATGCATTTCATCAGAATCTTAAATTATATAAAATATGATCAAAAAGACTTAAAATTGGTTTCAATTGACCCAATTAGAAATTATTGAAATTACTAATGTTTTAAGTGAAAAGAATAAATATGAAATTATTAAAGAATCAATCTTTAATGAATTTAAAGATAAATTAGATTTATTAAATTAAACTATTACAAATTCTTTGAAGCAATTTCAAGATAAACTTTTTCCAGCCTTTTAATAAATTTAAGAGCAAATATTATAAGAAATAATTATAGAAAATCAAGATCTACTAAATCGTTCCATGAATTATAGATAACCATTTTTTGAATCATTAATTGAATTAAATTAGCTAAATACCCAAAAGAAACCTTTTAGATATCAAATTATAAACTCTATAAATGATGAAAGAATTGAGACATTTGCATTTAATGAAGATTATTCCCTTCTTGTGACTGGTTATTTTGATTCTAATAAGATAAATGTATATGAATTCAATCAAGGATAAATAAATTAAATTTAAGAGCTAAGAGATCATGATGAGTGTATATATTGTTTAAAATTTTTCAGACAATAACTGTAATTTTTATCAGGTAGTTATGATAAATCGATTATACTTTGGGCTTAAAATGATAATAATTTCTGGTATTCTAAATATAGGTTAAGAGGTCATTTAGAGGGAGTATACTGTTTATTAATAAATAATAATGAAGATTAGATTATATCATGTAGTGCAGATAAATCAATAAAGTTTTGGAATTAAGAAAATCAATGGTAGTGTAACTAAACATTATCTCTTCACTCTAATAGTATTACTAGCATAAGTATAAATTAATCTAATTAATATCTAATTTCATGTGCAAGAGATGATAATTTAATTTATATTTATTAGTAATAAGATAATAATAAACTTTGGATTAAATTTTAAGAAATCAATATAGATTAATGGGGAATGAGAGTGTGTTTTATAGATAATTATACATTTGCATTTCAACCAATGAATAAAGTTAAAATGTATATTTTTGAACAAAATAATTAAAATAATTTATTTATTAAGACAAGGGAAGTAAAAGTAGAAGCTGGAAATAATTGTTATTATCATTTCCCTTTAAATTATATAGAATCAAAATAAATTTTAGTGAATAGAAACTCAAGTAAAATTAATTTTATAAGAAAATAATCAAATGGATCTTATGAGACAGAATTAGTAATTGATTATGAGGCTAATAGAATTTTTGGTGCAATAACTAATGATGGATAGTATCTGGTAACGTGGGATGATGTATCTAAATAATTTTAGATAAGAAAATACATAGAATGAATTAATTTAGAAATATAATTTATAATTTTAAAATTTATAGGTTATTTATTTTCCATCTAGACAAAATAAAATTTACAAAGCTCAAATATATTAGGTTTTTAATATATTTAAAGTCACTTTTATATTCATGAAAATCCTTACCTAAATTATGATTTAGAAAAAAATCAACCTTAAAATTATTTATTTTCAGTCAGTCTTGTTTGAATATAAAGTTTTTTATAATTATTGGCACATTCAAAAAAAAATTAGAGAAGATGCAATTAAAATCATGATAAAAGTGAATTAAAATAATGTAACTTAAAAAATATAATCTTAATCTAATACCAAAATTAAATTAAATCCTATATCTTAAAAATATTTAGAAAGCTAAATTGATATTTGTTAGAATTTTATTTTTATTTACATAAATTAGAATCACAGTTTTAAGTAAAAATTTTAAATAAATAAGCTAATGAAGGTTGATATCTCCAAAAAACTTTAATATTTTCAAATAATTTTATTTGTATTATAAAAATCGATTTCATTATAAATTTCTTCTGGAATATTTTCATAGTTTTTTTCAGTTTTTCTTCTTGCTAATGATAATAAATCTACATCATCTTCATTTAGTAAAAAATTATCTTGATATGATTTTACTGAACAAGAGGACTTTTAACCAAAAAGTGCATCACTTTCTTTTGCCTAAGTGAGGTTTATTTTTATTCCGACTTCATGAGATTTCAAAAGTTCTTCTCTATATTTTAAAGATCTAATAATTAAATATAACCGAGATATTTCATACAATAAATTGAGAAAACTCAATTTTTATTACATTTGTCTAGAAACCTTTTGATAAAATCTCTTATATTCATTCGTATCTACTTCTACTTGATTAAAATTAATTTTAATTATTTAATTTCTCCAATTTTTTTTGATACAAATCTTTTTAAATTCTGGGTAATAAAAATTGATGAGTTCTTACAATACCTTCTAATTGAGAGAATATTGATTTAATACAATAATAATGTATTTGATCATAAATAATAGTGAAACTATAGATCCAATATTTGCTAAAATATCACCGGCTCGTGGATATTCAAAAATAGTTTTCATTTGACTTCCTTTCATCCCAATATAAATAATAGAAAGTGCATCACTTTAAAATGCTTTTTAACAATATTCAAAAGTACTAGTTTAAGTTTGTACTAGTGCACCCGTTATATATTCTTTGTAGTTTGATTTTCCAAATAAAAAATAATCTTATAGTTCATATAAGTTCGTTTCGAGAAATGTATTCATAGTATAGCAATATTTTTATTCTATTTATATGTAAAATTCTTATAATCCACTTTATTCTGAACCATCCCTAGAATCTAAAGTTTTTGTATAAATTTGTATTCCAATAATATTATAAGATTAACTAAAGAATTTTTAAATTAGTTCGGTTGATGCACATGTTTGATTAGGTTTTAAATATATTTCTGAGCATAAAACAATTTATATATACATTTCTTCAGATGTATATATATCTCCATCAATATAAGAAAAACCTAATTCTGTTTTTGGTATATACAAATTTCCGTAAGGCGATGTAGTGTAATTTTCAATTAGCTGAGGTGTTGTTAATTTATTTTTTTTTGTATAAATTACCAATGGCAATAAAATGTTGTTCTAAAAAGGGTCAATCAAATTATCATCATATTTCCAATAGTATACTTTTAAGACATCTTAATTTAGATCAAGCAAAGTATAGTCTGATACATATTTTGAATTCGATATTTTTGGATTCATCTACTTAGTTTACCAAAGGTAAATAACCCAAATTGCATAGGCAAGACTTGCTGCAAAGATTGTTAATGTTAATATTCCTCCAAGTACACTCTTGTATGTTGTCTATTTTTAATCGATACTTTGTACAAAGGGAACTCCAAAGAAGTCAGCATTTCTTAAAATGTTCATTAGATATATCCAGAATGAATATTATTCTTTTTAATTAATATTTTAGAAAGACAACTTAATATTCAAACTTTAATAAGTTCCATAACTATAAATGAATAAATTATAAATAAAAATATTTATAATTTTTTATTCCCTATAAATATAATTATACATTTTAATCTATTTTCTTTAATATTTTCTAAAAATTTATTTTTGTAATTCGATTGTAAATTCTTATGGAATAAAATAAATTTGTGTTAAATTCTGAAAAGTGCAAATAAAAATTAATTTAATCAATCCCAATTTTATTCTTTAATTACTATTTTTGTTTCCATCTCGTTCCTTTTAAATTACTTTTTAAACAATTAATTATATTTATCTCTTAAATGTTGTAACATAGCATTAGAAAAATTTATTGGCGAAGGTTCTAGCTACATTTACATTCTGCTAATTTTTAATTTAGCATTAAGAGATGGAAACATATATTGAATTAATTAGTCTGAATAAAAATGAAATTATACAGCTTTATTGAATTACTTTTAGATGGATTCATCCTTAATTCCCAATAATAGAAAAATAGGAACAGCAGCTGTTCATATTATGACTTTGATAAATACTTAATACCAATTGAACTTATTTAAAAAGAAAATCTTCTAAATAAATAATTCTATAAGAATTAGAATGAATATTTAATTTATTTTTAAATCTTCTAAATTAGAAACTTTTTTAACTATTCATTTTAGATAGAATAAAGGAATAATGGAGAAATCATCCAAATAAGTAAACTTAATCGGAGAAATATAATCTACACAACATACTCAACTCCCCTTATTTAATTTATTTATGAGCAACAGATTGCGAAACAATTATTTAATTTATGTAAATAGCAAATTTTAATTAATATTAATGGATATGTTATTATCTTTTATTTTTTAATTAATAAAAATACTCAATTATAAGCAAAACAATTTCATCTCAATTAGAATAAGTAATCTTTTATTAGAAGAACATAATTTGCTAAATAAAAGAGTTTATTATTAAGTGTAAATTTATTTTTTACCATAAATAATAACAAGTTAAAAAAGGTAAGCATCTGTGATCAATTTTCTTTGAAAATTAATTGACTACATTTTCCTCTTTTTTAGTAGTATATGTTTACGTTACTTTGACTCTAAAAATATTTTTTAATCTTTTATAATAATCATTACTATAGAAAATGAATCTCTATTAGATTTATTTCTTTAAAAACGGTGCATAATCATCAAAGCTATATTTATATCCTATGCTTGAGATTTATCCAAATATATTATTAGATAATTAAATAATGCTCCCAATTTAATTTAAATATTTTTTTATATTTTTAAAAAGGTCTTGATAAGTTATATGGTTAATTAATAACACTTTTTGAAAAATAAAAGGAATGAACTTAAAATTTGAACTTTGAAATAGTTTTAGGTAATATAAAATAAAATATGGTTATATAAAAACCATATGTTTAATTTGTTTAAGAGTTTAAATAAAGTTAAATAAATAATAATAATTTAAATTGTATATATTATAAATTTAATGATGTAATATCAAATTTCAAATTTAATCATTTAGTTAATTATTAATATTTTCTTATAAGCTTTAATTATAAATAGAATTTTAGAAATCTTTTTAAATACTTTCTTTAATATTTTAATGATGAGTTTAGGATTATTCTTCAATTATTTCATTTTCATTTTTATTTTCTTATTTTTCTTAAATAAAATAAGTTTATTTTTATTCATGAACTTCTTATTTAATTTCTTAAATAATTTCTTAAACATGAGTTTATGATTATTCTACAATTATTTCATTTTCATTTTTCTTCTATTCTTAGATTTATTCAGTTTATTCTTATTCATGAACTTCTTATTTAATTTCTTAAATAATTTCTTAAACATGAGTTTATGATTATTCTACAATTATTTCACTTTCATTTTACTACATTTCTTATTTTTCTTCAGTTTATTAAGTTTATTCTTATTCATGAACTTCTTATTTAATTTCTTAAATAATTTCTTAAACATGAGTTTATGATTATTCTACAATTATTTCATTTTCATTTTTTTTCTATTCTTAGTTTTATTAGATTTATTCAGTTTATTCTTATTCATGAACTTCTTATTTAATTTCTTAAATAATTTCTTAAACATGAGTTTATGATTATTCTACAATTATTTCACTTTCATTTTACTTCATTTCTTATTTTTCTTCAGTTTATTAAGTTTATTCTTATTCATGAACTTCTTATTTAATTTCTTAAATAATTTCTTAAACATGAGTTTATGATTATTCTACAATTATTTCACTTTCATTTTACTTCATTTCTTATTTTTCTTCAGTTTATTAAGTTTATTCTTATTCATGAACTTCTTATTTAATTTCTTAAATAATTTCTTAAACATGAGTTTATGATTATTCTACAATTATTTCACTTTCATTTTACTTCATTTCTTATTTTTCTTCAGTTTATTAAGTTTATTCTTATTCATGAACTTCTTATTTAATTTCTTAAATAATTTCTTAAACATGAGTTTATGATTATTCTACAATTATTTCACTTTCATTTTACTTCATTTCTTATTTTTCTTCAGTTTATTAAGTTTATTCTTATTCATGAACTTCTTATTTAATTTCTTAAATAATTTCTTAAACATGAGTTTATGATTATTCTACAATTATTTCACTTTCATTTTACTTCATTTCTTATTTTTCTTCAGTTTATTAAGTTTATTCTTATTCATGAACTTCTTATTTAATTTCTTAAATAATTTCTTAAACATGAGTTTATGATTATTCTACAATTATTTCATTTTCATTTTTTTTCTATTCTTAGTTTTATTAGATTTATTCAGTTTATTCTTATTCATGAACTTCTTATTTAATTTCTTAAATAATTTCTTAAACATGAGTTTATGATTATTCTACAATTATTTCATTTTCATTTTTTTTCTATTCTTAGTTTTATTAGATTTATTCAGTTTATTCTTATTCATGAACTTCTTATTTAATATCTTAAATAATTTCTTAAACATGAGTTTATGATTATTCTACAATTATTTCACTTTCATTTTACTTCATTTCTTATTTTTCTTCAGTTTATTAAGTTTATTCTTATTCATGAACTTCTTATTTAATATCTTAAATAATTTCTTAAACATGAGTTTATGATTATTCTACAATTATTTCACTTTCATTTTACTTCATTTCTTATTTTTCTTCAGTTTATTAAGTTTATTCTTATTCATGAACTTCTTATTTAATATCTTAAATAATTTCTTAAACATGAGTTTATGATTATTCTACAATTATTTCACTTTCATTTTACTTCATTTCTTATTTTTCTTCAGTTTATTAAGTTTATTCTTATTCATGAACTTCTTATTTAATATCTTAAATAATTTCTTAAACATGAGTTTATGATTATTCTACAATTATTTCACTTTCATTTTACTTCATTTCTTATTTTTCTTCAGTTTATTAAGTTTATTCTTATTCATGAACTTCTTATTTAATATCTTAAATAATTTCTTAAACATGAGTTTATGATTATTCTACAATTATTTCACTTTCATTTTACTTCATTTCTTATTTTTCTTCAGTTTATTAAGTTTATTCTTATTCATGAACTTCTTATTTAATATCTTAAATAATTTCTTAAACATGAGTTTATGATTATTCTACAATTATTTCACTTTCATTTTACTACATTTCTTATTTTTCTTCAGTTTATTAAGTTTATTCTTATTCATGAACTTCTTATTTAATTTCTTAAATAATTTCTTAAACATGAGTTTATGATTATTCTACAATTATTTCACTTTCATTTTACTTCATTTTTTATTTTTCTTCAGTTTATTAAGTTTATTCTTATTCATGAACTTCTTATTTATTTTCTTATATAGTTTCTTAAAGATTTTAAACATGACTTTATGATTATTCTTTAACTTTTTCATTTTATTCTAATAAATGTACTATTCTTCTAATTTCATCAATTGTTTATTCAACATTATTTAACTAATTTTCTTATTTTTATTCATTATCTTACTTTATATCGAATTCTTTACTTCTTTCTAGCGTATTTAATTATTCTTTATTATCCAATTATATTTCATCATTTTTAGAATTTAAATTTACATCTGTTTAAATATCAGCATCTGCATTAAACATTTATGTTTTAATTACTTCTTCTTCTTCATAATTATTTTAATGATTTTTCTATTCCATTTCTTTTTACTAATTTTCACCTACATCTATTTCATTAACAATTCTTTATTGATTTAACTCATTAACTTCTTCAATCTACTAATTTATATACTAAGTTTATAGTTTTTCTTATTTGTTTCCAACCAAATCGTCTTCTTATTTTTATATTTTTTTTTCATTCTCTATGAAATTATGAATTGTTTAATAGTAGAGATTTGTGAGCTTCATGTCGAGGTTTATCAATTTTATATTTTCAATTTTACAATCTTATTAGGTTTTTTTATGCTTCAATAATGATGATAAAAATAATTCAATATAATAATTATCTTACTTTTTTTAAGTAATTTATTAAGGTGGATCTGAAAAAGATAAAGTTTTGAGATTTTTTTAATTTGCCAACTAGAAAGAAGCTAGAAAACCTTATTTTCTTTTATTGTTGTAATCATCATCCTAAATATAAAAATTGATTCTTACATGGTCATCACAAATTTTCAGCATAATAATGAAATTAATATTTTTGTCAAATTCTATTAATATAGGAACTCCATTTTGTACTGAAATATAAATAATGTTAATACATGGTTATTTTTTAATCTCTCTTATTTTCTTAATCAATTGTGTATTGTAAGGATCATAAGCTGCGTTCACTTAGACATTATAATTATAATTTACAAAAAGCATTTGCCTTCTCTTATAAAACTTCCCCTTAAATTACTTGAATTCTAAGATTTCCAAATTTTCCATCAAATTTGATTTTCGATTGCATTATCTAAGTAGGCTCTGGTCTTTCTTATCCACAAAGATCTAAGTAATTTAAGAATCATTCTTACTTCCCATAATAGATGATGAAAATTAAAATTTAAAATATTAACATAGTATTCAAATCATATCTAAGTCTTATTCTTCAAATAATTTAATTACAAAGACACTCTTCCAAGTTCGAAGAAACAATGATTTAAGATAACTTGGACAATGATTGATAAAAGAGTATTTGGTATACATAAAAAAATGCTGGATATTACATATGATAAAAGTGCACAAGAATAAAAAAGAACTTAATCAAATATCATATCATTCAATAGATAAAAAAAATAATAAGCTATTTTCAACAGATATTATTTAGAATTTTTGTATATATTTTATGATCAATCCTAAAATTAGAATATCGCCAATTCCTAAAATTGAGCATAGTTTATAAGGAGAATTAAAATTTTTCATCAATGGTAGACTTAATAGTTTTATATGTAATTCTATAGCAGTAATGAAATTTTTATAACAGGTTATCAAAATATTGATTAGCTCAAAAACAATCAAACATGTATCTATCATTTTCTAGCACATTATTTTAAATGTTGCCCAAGTTTTATATATAACTTTTTTCAAGCATTTATTGTATAGCTCATAATTTTTAACTAGGCAGTGATTAGTATGAAAATATGATAGTAATTATATTTTCATAATAAAGTTAATTATTATTTTCTAATCCATTACATATATGAAATATTTTTCTAATAAATTTATTTAATATTTATCAATTCAGCTAAACTAATTGATAAACCCTTAGCATGCGATGAATTTTGTAATATATTTACCATAAAATTCACAGATTATATTAATTATCTCTGATGGTTATTTTAGATGAACACTAATTATCTATTAACCAATTGATGTTAAATTTTATTTAAAGTCCAAATTAGCTTTCATAATTGATTTTTACAATGAATTAGTTATGTTTTAAGTTGAGCAATGATTTAGAGTTAAGAAGGTTAACACTGTATTTAGGATATTTATCAGAAAATTTGGAATATAGAATTGATTTTTTTCAATTAATGTTGTATTTTCTACATAAATCACAAAAGTATATGATAGTATTGAATAAAAGGAAGAAATAATAATTATTATTATAAATATATAAGAATGTTGCAAAGAGCAGTCTTAATATTATGTCCACTCTGTGAATTAGAATTTGAACCAAAATTAACTAAAACAAATATTTGTCCTAATTGTTTAATTGCGTAAATGAATATTACTAAAGGTACTTTTACATTTTAGCTAGATATCGATAATGATAAAGAAATCTTATTTTGCCGATATTGCAGAAGATATTAAAGACCTCCTTGGGTTCTTTGTGAAAGAGATTCAAAAGAGTTATTAGCTATCTGCTTAAAAAAAGTAATTGGGTAAAATTTTTTTAATTTAATTACTAGATTATCTGAAAAGACAATAATTGATACAAAGTTTATTTTTACAGAGCCAAGCACCAAACAAATAAAATTATAGATTACTGTATAATAAGAGGCTATGAATGGTACTTATATTTAGGATTCAAAAATATTAAATTTTGAAGAAGTTTATTATTAGTGTGAAGATTGCAAGCGAGAATTTACTCCTCATATTTGGGGAGCTTGTATTTAATTAAGACAAAGAGTTAATCATAAAAAATCATTTTTTTATTTAGAATAATTAATTTTGTAACATCGCATGAATTAGTAAATGCTAAAAGTAGAATCAGCAGATGATGGAATGAATTTTTATTTTAAATAAAAAAATCAAGCTCTTCATATGTTAGAATTTATTCGATCATATCTTCCTATATAAGTGAAAGAATCAAAAGAAGTCTACTCATTTATTAAATACACATTTGTTGTTGATGTTCCAAGAATATGCAAAGATGATTTAGTGATTTTACCACATAAACTTTGTCATCAATTAGGAGGAATAAATAGAGTTTAGATATGCTATAGAGTAGCAAGTTCAATTTAATTAANATTTACCATAAAATTCACAGATTATATTAATTATCTCTGATGGTTATTTTAGATGAACACTAATTATCTATTAACCAATTGATGTTAAATTTTATTTAAAGTCCAAATTAGCTTTCATAATTGATTTTTACAATGAATTAGTTATGTTTTAAGTTGAGCAATGATTTAGAGTTAAGAAGGTTAACACTGTATTTAGGATATTTATCAGAAAATTTGGAATATAGAATTGATTTTTTTCAATTAATGTTGTATTTTCTACATAAATCACAAAAGTATATGATAGTATTGAATAAAAGGAAGAAATAATAATTATTATTATAAATATATAAGAATGTTGCAAAGAGCAGTCTTAATATTATGTCCACTCTGTGAATTAGAATTTGAACCAAAATTAACTAAAACAAATATTTGTCCTAATTGTTTAATTGCGTAAATGAATATTACTAAAGGTACTTTTACATTTTAGCTAGATATCGATAATGATAAAGAAATCTTATTTTGCCGATATTGCAGAAGATATTAAAGACCTCCTTGGGTTCTTTGTGAAAGAGATTCAAAAGAGTTATTAGCTATCTGCTTAAAAAAAGTAATTGGGTAAAATTTTTTTAATTTAATTACTAGATTATCTGAAAAGACAATAATTGATACAAAGTTTATTTTTACAGAGCCAAGCACCAAACAAATAAAATTATAGATTACTGTATAATAAGAGGCTATGAATGGTACTTATATTTAGGATTCAAAAATATTAAATTTTGAAGAAGTTTATTATTAGTGTGAAGATTGCAAGCGAGAATTTACTCCTCATATTTGGGGAGCTTGTATTTAATTAAGACAAAGAGTTAATCATAAAAAATCATTTTTTTATTTAGAATAATTAATTTTGTAACATCGCATGAATTAGTAAATGCTAAAAGTAGAATCAGCAGATGATGGAATGAATTTTTATTTTAAATAAAAAAATCAAGCTCTTCATATGTTAGAATTTATTCGATCATATCTTCCTATATAAGTGAAAGAATCAAAAGAAGTCTACTCATTTATTAAATACACATTTGTTGTTGATGTTCCAAGAATATGCAAAGATGATTTAGTGATTTTACCACATAAACTTTGTCATCAATTAGGAGGAATAAATAGAGTTTAGATATGCTATAGAGTAGCAAGTTCAATTTAATTAATTGATCCAATAAAGTTAAAAGTTAGTGAAATCTCATCAGAATAATATTTTAAGCATGATTTAGATATTAGAACTATGCCTTTAAGAGAAAACTGTGACGAATTCATTGTTTTGGATGTTGAAAAAATTAAACCTACTAAAAATGATTAAAGTAATCCTTTTTTTAACACCCTTTGTACAGTTGAAATTATGAAAGATAATGATCCTGATTATAAATAATACTAAGTTAGATCACATTTAGGAAATTTCTTATAAGCAGGAATGACAGTTCAAGGATTTGATTTAATTAAATACAATAATGAGTTAGATGAAATTCATGATAAACCAGAGCTGATTATTATTAGGAGAAAACCAGAGAAAAACAAAAAAAGAAAAAATCAATTGAAAAGATTAGAAGTAGAAGAGATTTAAGAGAAAAAAAATAAGAAAAAGGAAGGTTATGAAGAATAACAAATTGAAGAATTTTTAGAAGATATTGAGTAGGATAAACATCTTTAAGAAATTTTAAATCTATAATAAGTTTAAAATCAAGAATGATAGATTAACTTGAAAATTTAATTCTTTTAAAAATTCCCCTTAATTTTATTTATAAAAATTATGAGTAATTAATAATTGTTATATGAAAAACTTGTTTGATTTAACTTTAAATTAAAAATTTTTAAATTATATAATCTAATTTAATTAATGTCTAATTCATATGCATAAAATTCGTTTTAAACCTTAAATTAATTGTCACATATCAGATATTTAATAAAATAGTCTGTATGTATATCAAATTTAATTAAATGAAAAGAATAGAACTTATAACTTGTAAAGTTGTATAAATTTATTAATGTTCAAGAAATTAATCGTTTTTGAGAAAAATAAATTAAAAATTATTCCTGAAAACTATAGATGAGAGTTAATTTTATATTTATTAAGCAAGTATCAAAATTAAGAGCAATTACATTCTTATGGTTTGATAGTATTTTAATTCAAGGGAGAAGATAAATATAATTCCAGGTTTCTAATAGAATTAAGCAAATTATTAGAACAAAAGATTGGTTCAAGAGACTTTTTTAAGGATCGTAACAATTTAAGATAGGTATTAACTATGAGATATTGAATAGAGTTATTCTAAAACATGGTCCTTAGTTTGTTACATTGTATGGCCATGTCATAAGGTAAATTCTAGATATAATTAGGTTAAAATTCATCTAATATTGCAATACATTGATCATATTAGAATGTAAATATGGCTCCTAATATGTAATGAGAATATATAACTTTCCATTTTTAAGAGCCAATATTTTAATTTATGTTGATCCCATTTATCTAAAGCATCTTTTAATTGAGTTGCATTTTCAATTTAAAGTTCCTTATACATACCAAATAAGGGTAGTATATTATTTATCATTTGTGTATATTTAATTTATTAAAATATGAACGTGCCAAATGAGCAAGATAAGCTTGTAAATGAGGAACATGGTTTGGGAGAAGTATTTGTTCCATCTCAAGTTGTAAAGAATTTTAATGAAATGGTATCTGATCGAAATGTAAAAATAAATTGGTAAAATAATAGCTTCAGTTACCATCTGATCGATCAGCTAAACGTTCATCAGATAATTAAGGATAAAACTAGGCTCCTTTAGTATATGATAATTAATATTAGTTAACTGATAAATAGAATGCTTAGCCATTAATTAGAAAGTTAGAACCACCCTAAGATGAATTGAAAAAATTAAATAAATAAATGATTGGATCTAATCATCATAGTTAGGATGATATATCTATTAAGAGTTCAGGAGGAGCATAGTCTCCAACTTAATGTAATTTATGATTAATTATATGGCAGAGGCAACACATAGACGACTAAAAAGAATGAATAGTAAATTGAAGAATAGACATAATGTTTAGAAATAATAATCTGATTTGGCTAAGAAGATTTTAAAAATTACTGAAAGCACTCCATTTTCAATAATGATGGCTATAGTTACGATTTATGCACTCTTTGGAGATGATATACGCATACTGTCAGTTGATAAATAAGGTGATGATGTATTCTTTGTCTTAACAGTCATTTGTATGGTTGCATTTTTAGCTGAAATAATTCTCACTAGTATTTGTAAACCAGAATATATCTTTAATGTAAGAATTATAATAAGATTTAGTTTTATTTTGTTTTGGATGTAATATCTACAATTACTATGATATTGGATTTAGGATGGATTACTGATACTTGGTATTCAGGTGATCTTTCTAGTGCAGCCTAAATTAAATCTATTGGAACTGCTTCTAGAGCTGCTAGAAAGGCAGCGAGAGTTATAAGAGTTATTAGGTTAGTGAGATTAGTAAAGTTATATAAGCATGCTAGGTAATAAATGGAAAAAGAATAATAAAGAAAGTTACTTTAAGATTTACTAAGATAAGTTTAATAAAATAAAAGTTAAGATTAATAAATACCATAATAATAAGTTTCGTCTCATAAATAAGTACTTCCTATTGTATCAAATAATGATGAATAAAGGGGATCTTAAAATGATATTGAATCTGCAAGAACTCCTGATAAGAATTCTATGTAATCCAGTTCTCATATAAAAACATCTTAAACAAATTCTGAAGATTAAATAAAAGAATCTGTAGTTGGAGCTTAACTTTCAGATTTAGTAATGAGAAGAGTTATCACTATAATTTTAGCAATCCTTATAAGTATTCCAGTTCTTTCATTGGAAACCTATTAAGAAATGATTAGTAGTTATGACTCAGGAATATATAGAATCTATCAATTTAGAGACAACGAACAAATGATGAAGTCTCTTCTTTATTAATATGCTTAATTTCATGTGTCTGAGATATTTCCAATTTATAGTGTGGATGTTAAATTGGTCGGTGATTCAAATTCTAAATTACATGAATGGAGTTTTAGCACAAATCCTGAGATTTTTGAATAGCCTGCATATGAAACAAAAAATCAATACAGATTTTCTGATCTTTAATATTATGTTAAATCAGAAGGATCAGATTTATAAAGTTATGCAGCAGCTGATTTAGTAGTGTACAATTAAACAAATGCTATTTTGTCAATCTTTTAAACTGTTTTTGTTTGTATCGTATTAGCAGTTTCAGCCCTAATGTTCAGTAAAGATGTTTCAGACTTAGTAATTGATCCTATTGAGGCTATGATGCATAAGATTGAAACAATTGCAGCCAATCCTTTAGAAGCAGTAAATATTGAAGAATAAGAAGATTTAATTATGGAAGAATTAGAAAAATAATAAGATGTAGAAAAATTAAAATAAAAAGAACTTGAGAAACATATGGAAACCTATGTTTTATAGAGATTAATAATGAAAGTAGGAGCATTATTAGCTGTTGGTTTTGGTGAAGCAGGTTCTGAAATTATAGCTGAAAATATAAAAAAAGGTGGAAGTGTTGATCCTATGATACCTGGAAAGAAAATATTGGCCATTTTTGGTTTTTGTGATATTAGAAATTTTACTGATGTAATATTTGTTATTAATTTTAGGCTACAGAAGTCTTGTAATAAGGTGTTATGGTATTTGTAAATGAAATAGCTGAAATTGTACATTCAACAGTTGATTCTATGAGTGGATCTGCTAATAAAAATATTGGAGATGCTTTTTTATTAGTTTGGAAATATTCTCCAAATGATTATCATCCAGATCCTGATAATCCAAAAAATTTGAAGTTAAAGAGTGATAAATATATAAAATAAAAAGGAGACATGGCAGTTTTAGCATTTTTGAAAATAATTACAGCAATCTCGATTTCTAAAAAATTAGAAAAATATAAAAAACATGAAGGTTTAAATGCAAGAATGAAAGATTATTCAGTTAAAATGGGATTTGGTTTACATATGGGATGGGGTATTGAAGGTGCTATAGGATCTGGTTTTAAAATAGATGCTTCTTATCTTAGTCCTAATGTTAATATGGCATCTAGATTAGAAGCAGCTACAAAATAATTTGGAGCACTTATTTTAGTTAGTGGAATTTTAAAATAATATCTCACTGAAGAATGTTAAAAATAAATGAGAATGATTGATATTGTTACTGTCAAAGGAAGTATTGTACCTTTAGGTATTGTTCTATATAAATAATAAAAGAATTACACACTGTTGATATGTCAATTAAGAATTTACAATCAAAAATAAAAGGATTAAGAGATAGATTTGATGTATCTTAAATGACCCAAAAAGAATCAAAAAAATTTAGAGTTTTAAATAGATTTAAAAGGGAAGATTTGATGAAAAAAGTTTAAAATAATTAAGTTTCTGTGACTGATCTATTTTCTACTGATGATGAATTAGCTGCAGCAAGAGAACCTTATACCTAAGTATTTTTATTAATCTAAATGTTAGGTATTTTATGAAACTTGGAAACAAGGATTTGATTAATATATAAAAGGATCTTGGAATGAAGCTTAATAAACATTTTAAAAAACTTTAGTAATATTATCAATTATTAAATTTTATAGACTATGATACCTGAACACAAAGATGGACCTTCAAATACACTTTTAGAAGTTATTCATTCATGTGGAGGAAAAGCTCCTAAAGATTGGAAGGGGTTTAGAGAATTAACAGAAAAATGATCTAAGGCAATCTTTTTTATTTTGTCTTAATATAAATTATATTTGTAATTCACTTTTAGTCAATTTTTTTACCATTTCACTTTTTTTTAGGGGGTTGAGATCTCGATCTTTTAAATAATTTTCTCCTTTTTTATTTATTATAAATTAAAATTTAGTAGGAAATGTAGAAATCTAATTCTTCTAATTCTTCATCAAAATCTAAATAAAGTCAAAATGTTTAGTTGAAGAACTATAAACCAAAAGTTTCATTTTTAAAAAAGCTTAAAACCGAAGATTTTGCTTTAAGGAAAAAATTGATGAATTAAAATTTTATTGGTAAACTAAAGGTTTTGGTTAAGGAATGTTAATAACATATATTTATATTATTAGAAGATCCATAAAGTTCATAATTAGCTAAAGCAATTTAAATGATTCTATTGTTAAGCATCTTATTATCATGTGTTACAATAATCGTTGACTCTATTTATGAATCTAGTAATAAAACCTATAATTCTGTGAGTTCAACAATTGAACTATATTTATTTATATTTTTTGGAGTTGAGTATTGTAAGTTAATATGTTTATATTTAGTATTACGATTATTTTCAACAAGTGCATTTGATAGATCGCTCTTATAATTTATCATTTCTCCAATGAACTTAATCGACTTTGTATCTATACTCCCATTTTTATTAAGTTTATTTTTAACTGAAGATTCCTTTTCTTAATTGAGAGTTCTTAGATTAATCAGATTTATACGAATATTTCGTTTGTTCAAATTATCAAGATTCATTAAAGAAATATCAATGATAGTAATTAATGTTGATATTAAAGGCAGAAACAGTGAGAAATTCATTAAAAGATATGTTAATGTTGATAGTGATGCTATTTTTAATGGTTATCTTTTTTTCAACAATCATATACTATTTAGAATATAATGAAGATGAAAACGATCAAATAAAGAATCATATAAGTTCAATTCCTGAAGCAATATGGTGGTGCGTTGTGACAATGACAACAGTTGGTTATGGAGATTTTATACCTTAAACTATTGAAGGAAAATTTATAGCATGTATAACAGCTTTATTGGGAATTACAACAATATCATTACCTGTTGCTATTATGGGAATAAACTTTTACAGAACATTAAAAGAAAATGAAGAAACAGATGAAATTGATAGATTGAAATAAAAATATCAAATATCAAATGAAGTTGTATCAAATGATTAATTAAATTTGAGAGAATTATAATTTATGGAAAATCGTCTAGAATAGTTATATGAGAATAATGAAAAAGTCTTAGATTATTTGGAATAATCTTAATAACTTTTTGATGAATTAACAGCTAATTTAATGAGTTTATACAAAGCATTAAGTGAGGAGATAGATTTACATTTAGAATATAGAATGAAGAGACTTAAGATGAAATAAAGAGTAATATTTTATGTATTTTATAGATAATGAAAATAGAAAAAAATATAGAATAGAAAAAATCAATAGAACTAAATTAATTAATACATTCATACAGAGAGAATAAAAGAAAGATAGCATTGTCTCCTATGATAGATGAATCAAGAATGGAAAGTTTAAATAGTGTACATTCTAGATTATAAAGTCTTGGTAATAAAAAAAGAAGTATAAGGATGAGCTAAGTAAAGCATTTGAAGAGTTCATGTCTATTTAAATCTGCTAAAGAAATTAATTATGATTTGAATAGTGAATTAAAAAGTGAGAATAATTAAATTCATGAAATTCACTTTCCAGATCTAATGGAAGACACTCCACATGGTGATTAATAAATAAGAAAGAGTTAATTTGAGATGAGCATAAGAAATGATTCGGAAAATTCTCAATGTTCAAGAAATGAAGAAGATTGCGATGTCTAAAATAAAATATTAGGTTTGAAATAATAATAATTCATAAAGACTTTTTTGCCATGAAGAATTCTTATAAATTTTTGTTAAAGTCTTTGCCTCTCTTTAAAGTATCTTCCATTTTATTTGTGGTATTTATTATTCTAAATATGAATATGATAATATACTTATCTCTTCTTGATTTTGTACCTGTAGGCATGTAAAATTAGATAAGATGAATAATGGCTAGAAAACCTTTTAATAAACTGATTAGTGTTAAAATTACTGAAATGAATAAGATTAAAAATTAAGGGAGACGTGAAATATTCATTCTTAAAAGAAGTATTAAAATTCCAGAGGCTATACAATTTAGTACAATCCATTTAATTACAAATAAGTATTTTTTGTATATTTTATCAGTAAATACTTTGCTTTAACTTTTATCTTCAGTTAATCCTTTTGTTCCCCAAGACAAATCATCTATTCTACAAAAGGCATATGTGATGAATAAATGAGTATAAGTAGGCTGATAGTAGAAATAATGAATAGCATTCATAAGAACACTTATAATAACTGAAGGTTAGGTAATGAGAGTAAATAAAAATGGAAGTGCAAGTGTACCAAAACCAATGACAATTAATAAAGAGTAATAAGACTAAGGTGCATTTGGTTTTTCAATAAAGTCAGTAAATTTCAGTTCCAAAATTATTGAATTAATCAACAAATAAATAGTATAGGTTACAGTTGCTAAACTTATCAATCCTAATAGAGTAGATACAAAATAATATTTAGAAAAGTAATAGCTTCTAATTTTTTATTGTAAATTCTTTTTCGAATTTTCACTAGTCCCATTAATGTTATTTAAAATTTGTTAGTCATATGTTAAAGATAAATATATAAGCATCAAAACTAAAAAAATGTATAAGGCTAAGATAGCAGATACAAAAATATTGTTAACTGATTCTTATACATGATCAGAAGCATCATCATTAATTGGAGGACTAATTTAATTTTATACATCATAGTAAGTATCAGTATCAGTTTCTTTATTTGAACCTACCACTTCTCTTAAAATCATGTACAACCAAACTATTTAGAATGATTAGAAAAAGTATTATTAAAGTTGATTTAAACCTGCACATATGATACTAAACTTGAAAAGTTATTTAGCTTCCCAAGAATGAGAACTATTTTCTAATTTTTCCTGATAAGTATCTTAAACATAATTAAGTGCAAACCAACTTCCATTAATCCATCTCCTTCTTTAAAATAGTAAATCAATAAGACTCTAACAAGCATCTACATAAACTATAGCATCTGGAATATACTTTAAATAAAAATCTTAACAAAAAAGAAGTAAACATAAAACTCTATCTTCAGCTAAGAACATATTAGCTTCAGTAATACTACTGTATTCATAATTTGAATCCATCACTTACCTCAAATAAAAGTTGAGAATGTTATATCTTTCTTGTTCATTTTAAACTGATATTGCTTAATCTTCTGCATCATTATTGTTTTCTTATTAATTATCAGCAGTGTTTTATTGTAAACCTCCTCTAAGTACTTATCTAATCATTTCAAACTTTTTGGATCTTTTCTGATAATGTTAAGTGAATGCTTTAAATCTATATGCAGAAAATGCTCCAGGTAATACATGTATATAATTTAAAGCAGATTCATAATTTTTATCTAAAATGTGACCAATATCATATTCACATTATTAACACTTTTTAATAGAGAATATATGTTGATTTAATATTTTACTTAGAATGTCCATAGATTCAGTATGTAGTGAATCATTGTTTCCTATTTCTTCTTCTATTCTCATATTACCACATACTCCTCCTATTTTTAGATCTGCCTCCATTGAACTTATTAACTTAAAAATACTATCTTTTGCTGGAATAGCTCCACAATCCATCAATAAACAATATTCTGGTTTCAATTCTTCACAAAAACCCTTAAAAAACCATAAATGTGATGAAAGCTTAGAACCATTCTTAAATTTGAATACATAAAATATAGGCATTGTACATTCTTTATGAACATGTCTACCTTAATATACCCATGCTGTATTTTCTCTATCTTTTATATATTATGATGATAAATCATATTATCTAATCATTGCCTATATTATATTGTTTTCAACCCATTCATCTTGTGGCATCCATCTATCTCCTTTCAATGATTTCATTATTGGAAGTAATTAATCCTTATACTTTTTATATTTCTTTAACAATAATTATTGATTCCTCTTCAAATTTAATATATTCTTAGGATTATAATCCAAAAAGAATTTCTTATGTTTCTTGTATTCCCAATATTAATGATCAAGAGTTTTCTTATCTTTTATACCATATTCCTCATCTAAATGACTTTTAAAATAAGCTTAATATTTATAATTAATTATTACGTATTATATTTTCATGATAAGATGCTCCATTCTCATCTATTACATTATGTATATTTTCTATTCCATCAAAAAATACACAAACTCCAATCTAATGAGGAGCTATCCCATACTTCATAAAAGCATCTAAAGATTATACAACCCCATCTATTGATTTTTATAATTATGTTAATGGTTCACGAAACATTGTTATACATACCATTAATTTCATATAATTTTCTTAGTCATCTTTTATTTATAATTATTCTTATTTCTCTATATCTCTTTTTCTAGATTCATGTATTAAAGAACTTAATAAACCATTATGAGCATGATCTTTTATTTCCTCATATTTTTTTAACTATTAAGTAAAATTTAGAGATCTTAAATTTCGTGATTCTTCTTGTTATTGTTATAACTTTTATGTCAAATAATTTTTTGACTTACTTATATCTAAAGGTATCAAATCAAACCTCTTTCTTAAGTCAAAATTATTTATTTCATATTTTGGATCATTTTGAAATGTATTTTTTACAACTTTTAATCCTCCCTCCACTAAAAATCTATTAATTTTTTATACATTATAATTCTAATTCCAAGGTTTTATAAAGTAATCTATTTTTAACATCAGGCTCTTCAACTAGACACTTTCCAATTTGAGTAGAACAATACATTTTTTTAAATAATTATTATTTATTCTATTTGAAGATTTCCCTATAAATATTATTTTTTTGTAATTATTAAAAATTATTTTATTTGAAATATTATTTTATTCCATTAGATTCTTTTAAGTTCTCAATAAATAAGAACATAAATTTTATTATTCTTACTTTTTTATTGAATCAACTATTATTTTCAATTGATTTTATGTCAAAAGTAACAATTATAAAACAAATTTTTTAAAATGATTCTCCATTATATCAAAATTATCAAAAACTAAGAGAGCTTACTCTAAAAATAAAAGCAAATATTTTGTAAATCTTTTCTTAGAATATATATCTTCAAATGATTCAACAAAAATGATCATTATATAATAGACTTGGATCAAAAAAATAAAAAATAAATCTCATATTAATTATAAACAGATTCATTCCTTTTTTACAAAGTCTGAACTATTTAAATCTCTTCTAACAAAAAATAAATATAAAGAATATTTGAAAAAAGAAAATCCTTTCACATAGAATCATGTCAAATTTTATTAGGCTAAATCTCAATTTTTCCACATATTATTAAAATCAGATAAAAACTATGTCCTAATTTCTTTTTTTTTATTTATACCAATTATTTCAAATAAAATAAAAAAACTTTTTTCATTCTAACTTTTTCTACATCATTAAAGTTGTTATATTTCTAATTGTAATTTAAATACAAACTTTCATTAAGATTAGTTTAATAATGAACCAATAATAAAAATTTTTTATCGTATAAAATTTTTCTACAAAAAAATTCAATATAACTATGATAGTATTAGATTGATAATGTTTTTGAAAATATTTGAGAGAGAGTCAAAAGATTAACAAGAAGAGAAATGATGATTTCATATTTGAAATGAATAATAATAATAAAAAGAATATTTTTATTTTAAAAATAAATTAATTTAATGTTATAAATGAATTTATTCACAAAGTCAAAAGTAGAAACAAAGAAAACAACTTGTGGAGGAATATTAGCTTTAATAACAATATTATCAGTTGTATTTCTAATAATAGGAGAGATAGTAAGATCATTTTAATTGGAAGTATTATCAATGATTGATACTACTAATCTGGATGAAAGAATAAGAGTAAATTTGAATATAACAATTCATAATATGACATGTTTTGCATTATCATTAGATTAATAAGATATTACAGGGACTCATTTAGAAGATATGGAATATACAATTCATAAATTAAGAGTGAAAGATGGAAAATTTATTAATGATAATTATGCATAAAAAGTAAAATAATTTGAGCAATCATTATATAAATGGAATTGGCATAATAATGAGAATGAAGTAAATGATTGTTATGGAGCATAATTATTTGAAGGATAAAAATGTATAACTTGTTAAGATGTTTTATTGGCATATGCAAGTCGTGATTGGCCTTTACCAAGAAAGGAAAATATTTAACAATGCAAATATTCTTATATTCAATAAAATGGAAGAAGAATGCTATTTACTGAAGATTTTGGAGAAGAAAAAAGAGGATAACAATATATTGATTTGAATGATTTAACAGCTATGGCATTTACTTATGGAGAATCATGTTAAATATTTGGTCATTTCTATATTAAGAGAATACCTGGTAATTTTCATATTAGTTTTCATGGAAAAGGATAAGCAGTTAGTGTAAAATATAGTATTAAATTTATATATAGTTGATTTCTTAAGATATTCAACTTTCGCATACAATTAATTAGCTCGAATTTACACCATAAAAGGAAGGTCCTACACATGGTAGATATTTTAAAACTACAAATACACTTGATGGATCATTGCATTCTTTAGAAGAGAATGAAGATGCTTAATATTATTTGAAATTAGTTGAAAGTCATTATGAAACATTGTTTACTGAAGCTGATTTATATACATTTACAGCTTATGAATAAAAGTAAGATTTTTAATGTTATTTTCAGTCAGATTGTCAAAAAGTGAAAGATTGCCTTAAATCATATTTAAATATGAATTTGATCCAATAACAACTATTTATAAGAGTAAAATAACATCTTGGACATAATTAGTAGTTGCTATCTTTGCTGTAATTGGAGGGGTGTTTTCTACTAGTTAATTTATTAATTCAATTTTTAGTAGAATAGGGTTATGATATATATATTCTAAAAGCATTTTATAATATATGTTATATTAATCAATTAATCTTAATTATCTATAGATGTTTATTATCAAAGTTCATATATCAAAATATATATTTTAATCAACATTTATATTTTTCTAAGATTGCAAAATAGATCATATATTAAGAAGCATCAGAATTAATATATTAAAGCCAACTACATATAAATAATTTGTCTAATATTGGAAATCCATTTATAAATTATTTTAATGGAATTGAGATATAGGCTTATGCTAATGACAGTATTTCTTACTCTTCTTTATTTCCTCTGTAGTTTAATTGTGCTTTTAGGATAATTTTTCAATGGTACTAACATCTCCAATAGTGAATTACTCTCTTCCTAACTTTATACTGAAACTTCATTAGTAATATTTAAATTAGCATTTAGAACTCAATTCGATTTACAAGATTTTTTTATGGCAGATCAATTAGGCCAGATATCAATTCATTATATGGTATTTCTAATATTATTGATTCCATCAATCATTTGTAATAATTGAAAGAAAAAGAACTTAGTTAATTAATTTGGCATTTCCAAAAAGCATAAAGTCTTCAATAATTAAAAGATTAATACCCAAGTTAATATTAAACTTTATAATTATATTCACCACTTCTTAGATTTATTAAGATCTATACTGATAATTTAATATTTGAAGAATTTCATTTACTATGTCAAAATGGTTTGGGTATCACATTTCTTAATAGAAATATAACAACATAAAATGAATGGTATTCAAAAATGATAAAAAATTGCAATAATTTTGATAATTGTGAATCTTATATTAATCAATTTTCTTCTGAGATTGTTTTCCCATAAATTGAATAAAATTATGAAAAATGGAAATTAAAAGTTGGTAAACAAGGGAATTTTTGTATTTTACAAACTCGTACTACAAAAAGTCTTCCAATTATAGATTTAAAATAACCTATTACTTATTCAATTTTAACAAATGGTTAATTAAATGTAATTTAAAATGGTAAACTATAAAATGGAACTTTAGAAAGTGTTTTATCATTATGGTTAAATTAAACTGAAAATTTTTAAAATTAATTATATTCACTAATAAGTGTGCCAATACAATAAAGAGAATGGAAAATGTTTTATGATGGAATGGGAGAATAGAGAATAGTATTTTTTTCATCTTATTACTTTGTTCATCCAGATTACCCATTAATTAATTTAACAGAATAATTATTAAAAAATTGTTCTGTTGTGTTTCTATATTCTATATCTCTTAATGAATATTTATAACAATCAGGTAAAAATTAAGCTGCTTAATAAACTCTAATTAATTAAATTGTTATAGGATGTGCTTTTCATATTGCTTTATTTTTATACTTCTGGAGAAAAGCAGTTGTTTTAGCATTAACTTTAGAAACACCAATAAGTTAATTAATTAAGTTAACTGATGTTGATATGAAGTATCTTGAAATTTAAGATTTTAATCTATAAAGCTATTCAACTCTATATTACAATCAAGAAATTAGAAAATCTTATGAAGCTATTATTAATCTTCTTAATAGTATAAAATATTAAAATAATAAACTCTTGTAAGAATCAAAAGATATTAATGAAGCTGAAGCTTTAATAATTTTAAGTATGTCTAAAAGCTTTTACAAAAAATATAACAATAATCCTGCTGTTGGCATATGTGCTAATAATATTGCTAGAATACATATGAAAAATCAAAGATATTTAGAAGCTATGAATGAATAGGAAGAATCTGTTTTAATTGCAAATCAAGATTTATAAAGTTTAATTGAAATGCAAAAGTATGCTAATTAAGCTGCTTAAACTTAAGATGATTAATAACTCAAAAAATTATATTTACGTCTTAAAAATAATGTTTTATAAAAATTTTAGAGACAAGAAGATTAAGTAATGAAAAGTGTAATTAAGGATATAGTAAAAAAAACTGGAGTCATTTAAAATTCATAACCAAATCTATCAAGAGGATAAACTATTCAAAAATCTAGAAATTTTATAGAAATACCTTAAATCAAAAGTTAAGTTGAATTTGAAACACGAGGATTAAGATAAACTATAAATTAAATTAAAAATGTTACTTAAGAAGATTAATTAATCAAATAATAAAATTCTGAAATCTTAGAACATTTAGAAAGTCCAAGAAAATCATCTCCAATTTCAAAAGCATATTAAGATTAAGAATTTCTTTAAAAAAAATAAATCTTAGATTATAAGATTGTATTTCGAAAATATTAATTAGCTTGTATTTTATTCAATTACAGCATGTCTAAAACTTAATCTACATTCTTAAATGAAAGTGTTAAATAATTCAATGATGTCTTGGAGGATATTTAAAATTTACCTGATTCCTTCTCAATACTATATATGAAGATAAATATCTATATAAAAAAAGCATTTTGCTTTGTGAAGGCAAAAATAATGGAAAAAGCTTATTTAGAATTATAAGAAGCTTAAAATAAGTTTGCAATTCTCTAATCTATCAAAGAAGATGTTAAAGAATTAGAATCCAAAGAGTTCGTTGATATTTTTCGAAATATTCCTCTTGAAATACTTTAAGAGAAAATTTTTGGTTTAGAAGTAAATTTAAATAATTTATTAGGCTTTAATAATGATGATTAATGAAGATTATTATAAAGCTTCATAAAAATTTGTTTCTATTTTAAAAGCTGAAGGATTTTATGATCCAGGATTGTAAAAATTAATTTTAAAATCTTTAATTAAGATTTTTAAGAAATGTTAAATTGACATAGATTGCTTAATTAAATTTTCTTAATAAAATTAACCAAAGAAAATAGAATTAATATTTTTGATAGATTATTCAAATGAAATGACAAATGAATAAATAACTTTATCTCATTCAATGTGCAAATATGTTATTTAAAAACTAGATGAAGATGCAGAAGTTGCATTATATGCATTTAATGAATCTCTTCATGAAATATTTTCATTATAAATGAAAGGAACTTATAAAAAATTACTTGAATCAATAATAGAAAAAACTTTAATCAAACCTGGAGGATAAGCAAATATATTTTTAATTTTAGAAATAGTTATTGCTATTTTGTTTGAAAAAGATAAACTTGAACAGAGAAAATAATTAGCTTTACATTTAAAATCTAATAAGATTAAGTAATAAATAGAATAAGAAGAATTTAAATTTTCAGATGTAGAATTCAGAGGATTTTCAAATTCTTCAAAAAATGGTAAAACCTTTTCATAAGGATTCAGTTAAATAATAAAAGAAGGTCCAGATGAATTATCAGAAGATGACAGTCTTAATCAAAATATGGTACATAATATTGATTATTTATATAGAATTAATATAAAATTGATATCGATATGATAAGTGAAGAAAAAGATGATTAGGTACTTAGATATGTTTGTGTATTTAGTGAAGGAGTAAAAAATTATAACTAGATGTCAATTAATCGACTTTAAAGTTTAATCAAAAAGAAGAATATACATTTATTAATATTTAACATAGCCAATTAAAATATGAATATGTTGTATTTAAAATAATTAGCAAATGTTTCAGAACAGAGTTAATTCTTTACTAATGAAAGAGATATTGAGACTTTTTTTGATTAGTTAAAGAGAAACGATTTCAATAAAAGAGTTTATTTAGAATTTTTTTGATTACACTTACCATAATTTTATTTACTATTGATAATTAATTTGATAACTACTAAGCAGTATTTCTTTTATGAAGATAATGATTAAGTAATCTATATACTGTAAATTCAATTTTATCTTTGAATAGAATTAACTCGTCATTGCTATTAATGAAATAAAATCATATATTTTTATAAGATCAATTGCTTTGTTAAATCTAAGTGATTCTCTATTGTTTATAAATGCAATCTTAATTCTTCTATTTTAGTAACATTATCAATGTTTTCATCCCTAACTTTATTTATAAAACTTACTCTTACAATCTTTGTAACCGCTCTATTAGGTTTACAATATCTTGGCCTTAAAAATCGTTATATTTTTTCAAATTTTTGAGTTTTTTCTTCAAATGATTCTTAATTTAACTGACTGTTGTACCTGGAATTTATTGAGCAATATCTGTAATTTTAGTGTCTTTTCTAGCTAATTCCATAATCAAAGCCTCTTAATTTATAGTTAGTCTTTATTTAGCTTATAATTTAATACAACTTTATTACTTGATTTATTGGATTTAGTTCTTGATTTTTTCTTTTCTTTTTTTATACTTTATCTTTCTGAAAATTCTTCTTCTAATTCTTAATTCTAATCAATTTCAAATTATGAAGAGTTATTTGTTTAAGAATATAGAATTTTCTCTTCAAAAATTTAGTTTACCTAACTTAATTTTTAGGCTTCTGGAAAGAGAAAATCTTCAGTTTTTTTAGCAGAAACTTCAAAAATAGAAGGTTCAACTAAAATATTTGAACCAAAATTAGTAGAAATATCTTCAACTTATTTTTATAAGGGTTAGAGTTGTGATTTCCAAAAATTTGTTGCTTAATTACAAATCTACTCAAATCCATTTCTACTCATGAAATTTAATTAATAATTAAAGACAGAAATTATAATAATCTTCATTCTTGTATTATATCTATTAATTCATAAAATTTTAGTTAACTTAATCTGATTAATTAATATTGAAAACAATAACTTTCTTATTGTTTAAAATTCATAAATATAGAATGTTGTTTAGTGTTTATATTTATTATATAAATAATAATTATTTTATAATCGTATTATCATTTTAATTTTTTTTAAGGTATTAAAGACTAATTAATTTAACGATAACAAACCTTTACACAAAGTAAGATATTGGAGAATAAAATTTTATAAATTAATCCTCATATATTCTAATTTAAATATAATAAAAATATTTTTAATGATCTTAAAGGATTATTACTTTAAGCAATATTGAGAATGATATTGTAAATTATTGGAAGCTCATTAGAAGTAAAAATTTTTAATTTATAAATAAATATTAATTTACAAAAATACTATCATTAAGTACCACCCTATATTAATACTTATAAAGTATATTTATTATTTGCTAGAATATGAGGAGGAAATAAGTGCATGATGCTTTTTGCAGATTAAACTATTTTTAGGATTTATCTATGAATTATATAAAGAAATAATGTTTGAATTAGAATTATAATTATCACACTTATTTTTAGAATTATTTATAGAGTTAATTAAGTGTTGACTAATCTAGTTTGCATATAATCATCAAACTCATTTTTTTTTTTAATCTAATATTCAAAGACAATTTTATAAGCTTTCATAATGTCATCCTACTATTCTAAATCGTATAGATGTTAGGAAACATAAGATTAAAATCCATAATATCCATTTTTTAATTAATTTGACAATAAGGTGCAATCACATAATGACACAGTAGAATATTGCTAAATTTCTGGAAAATAGTCATATTTACTATCAAAAGGTAGATCATAAAGTACAAAATATTCTGAGGGTGTACACTAATCAATAACATATTGGATAATTGATGTGTTGTGTACTAACTTTATACTGTACTTAGTTTCAGTTTAATTTATAGCTAACCATGTTAGAATGACAGACTATTTTAATTACATCATTGCTAATTCTGTTTGTAGTTAATTTACATCAATAGATTATAAATTAACAGAATCTATATATAAAAAAAGTGGTATGTAGAAACCCAAAGAGATGATTAAAAGTATAAAAAATGTGAGAATTCCATAAATCTACCAAATTAATCCAATTTTTTTATTTTTTTCCTCATCATCACTCTTTGTTCCTGGTGAATAGAGTATTTGACGACTAATTGAATCAGACAATAAATTAATAAATGTTTAAATATTGCTAAATAAAAATAAAGTTGAATAAAGTTAATTTCTCCATTAAAAGATATGTAAAAGAATTATAAGGTATGTGATTATGGCTATAAAATTAAAAATGATAGAAAGGATCAATAATAATTTTGACATTTGATCCAATTCATCTACTCTTTCAATTACATCTCTAGTGGTTTTATTTTTTAAATTCCACAATTAATTTGCTATTCCAGGATAATTATCAAATAGAAATTGACTCTCTTCTTCAAAAATACCAATATAAGGAGTTTCTGCAATTGTTCTAAGTCTTTCAACCATATAATTTTTGAAGAAGTATTTTTTATTATAAGAAATTTATAGTCCAAATTCTTAAACAAGGATCTTTTCTTAATCAAGTTCTTATAGAAATGTGTGATAATCGTGTTCAACATCATTAACATATATACTTAAATTTTAATATTATTCAGCACCTGTTAATATAAAATTATTTGCAAGTTCAAAATTAGATTCTTTCCAATCAGTAAGTTGAATTCCTAATAAAACCAAATTGATATCTTGAAATAATATTAGTGGATAAGTTTGATTATTAGAATCCATTTATATACCAGCTATACCTAATATACTATTAATTACAAATCCTAAGATAAATCCCACATTAATTAAAATTAAAAAACATGAAACTATTTTTATGTAAAATAATGAACTCAAAGAAGTATTTTAAAATTAATTAACAATACTTCTAATTAATTTTTTTTATGATTATTGATTTCCACTTCCATGCCAAGTACTAGCTTTGTGTTTGTTTTTTATTTAATTTTTCATTTCCAATAATTCTTTTCTTGTTTATCTAGTTTTCACTGTAGCTAAAATTATTTATAATTATTCTTCTATATTTTAATCTTCTGTTGAATTTAATTCTATTTCAATTAGTTAATGAGTATTTCTTTTTAATTTACATGAATCCTAATCAGATTTAGAACCTTCTAAAGTATCAAGTTTCTATTATTATTCAAATGATTTATCTTTACTTAAAGTATTAGGATAATCTCGATATTATTCAAATGTTAATAATAATTTTTCATTTTACGTTCTAATAGAATCTAAAGAGGGAATAAATTCAGGAAGAATATTATTATTTTTAGCTTATATTTTAATTTCTCTTTCTGAATCATCTTCATATATTAGATTGTACTCTTCTTCAGTAAATTCGATAGTATGAGTTTAATGAAATTTAAAAGTCTTTTTGAAAGATTATATTTTACGAGCAGATTAAGCTGGTGCCATATATTAAGATTTACTAACTTATTTCAAAATCATAATTTATCTCATCATTATATCTAAAGCTATAATTTTAAAATCTAATTCTTTTAATTAGTAAAATGAATTTATCTTTAAGCATTATATTGTTACTGAAGTGTAAGTTTTTTTTTAATGTTTTGCATTAACTAAAAAAATATAACATTCTTCTGGAGATCCTAAAAAAAATCTCATATAACCCAATATATCTGTTCTAAAATGTCTTTTAGGAATTAACAAAAATCCATCAAACTCAAATTCTGCTTTTTCTGATAATAAACAAGGTGATAGGTAAAAGTAATTAAGAGAATCACAATCAACATCATCTAGTTTTAGTAGAATTCCAGCAGATCTAGAATAAGAATCTAGTTTTCCCTTCTCATTAGCAAGTACCAAAATACTATCCTTATCTCTTAGTTACATAAAACCAATAAACCTTAGAAAGTCTAATTATCTATAATCAAATCTTAATAATGCATCTACTTCTAATATATATTTTTCTGATTTAACCATAAGACTGTATTACTCTTTATTAACCAATTTAGTTTATCCTGTATTAATCATTTAAGCTATTGCATATCTATGGTACTGTTATAAACTTACAGGTACAATTGATTCAATAGCACCTCCCTTAATTTATGAACTTACATTAATCATGGAAATAAAATTGTTAGAATAATCTTTTATGATTAGATCTCCTTCATAATCACAAATTACAAAAGCTGTTTAATTTTAATTTATAAAAGGAATCGTCGCTTTTTTATGAAAGTTCTAGAAGCCATAGTCGACTTTTATTTATGAGTAGAAATCATCTTACAATTCTCTAACTTCAGCTGATATCCCATTTAGCTAAACTAATTATTATATTAATATTTCTAACTAATCACATTCAGCTAAATAATTTTATGTAAATTTATGTAACAGATATGGAACTGGATTTTAATAGTTCCTTTTCAAAAGTTCTAAAATTACTATTTTATCTTCTATCACCTTATAAATTTCATTCTAGATATTTTCAAGCAATTTAAAATATCTCAATGAAACAGATAGATCAAAATTCATTTTATTAACTCCGCCTATATAAGTTTATAATTTATTAGTAATCAATGAGCAAGTTGCCTATCTTTCTAAATATTGGGGATGAAATTTATTATAAAATATTTTTAGATATGAAAATCGAAGTTTTGTTTAGAAAAGTCTCTGTTGAAAACTTTAGCTTTCATATAAACTTAATTTTAATATTAAAGTTTCACCTATAGTAGTATATCTTACACTTTTTATATAATTATCAAGGAATAACAACATCAATTCCTTAAAACTCATTTAAATATCCTATTCTGCTACTGCATAATTTATTTACTATTAAATATCCTTAACATCCAGTGATAATTGAGTAGTAATTTTAACACTTTCATGAAAATTTCTATTTTAACAGAAACATTTGATATTTTAACACATATTCATATGATTACAAAAAATACTCAGCATTAAAACCCTATTTAAGGGTTTTTTATAATCAATAATTTCAAAATAATATGCTATATAACATTCTATCTGATTATCCATCTCTCTGAATTTATCAAGACAGATATATTGAAAAAACATATTTGTTCGATATATTAATTCCATAAATTTATTATCCCATAGGATGAGATGAATTTGTATCATAATTGGAAGAGAAAATAAAGACAAAAATAAAATACTATTGCCTTAATAATAAAATAGAAATACAAGTATTGGAAATCTTAAAAATGAAAATAATACAACCTATCTTTAAGTTTTTATATTTAAATATTGCATATGAGGTTTAATGTAATAAAGTATCCCAAAATAAAGGTCAAAAATCAATTAAGTTCCTAAATATAGATAAGATAAGTATTTATTGTTTAATTACAAACCTGCAAATAATGCTAAAACTGAATAACAAAAAGGAATGAAGCTCCTTTCAAAATATGATTTAATTAATGTTTGAGTTTAATTTTATGAAAATGAATATAAGCTAGATAGTTGAGAATTCATGATAGCTATTATTATATTTAATAATCCCAATGTAAAGTTTACATTATCCCTAAGTAAACAATGCCCACTATTTTAAATAATCACGATTTAACATATATTTGGATAAGCATCCCAAAGCAAATCAACAATCTTTTTTGAATATTTATAATTTCCTCCCATTAAAATAGATAAAAGAAATGTAAATGAAAAAATAATCGTTAAGCTTTAAATGATGATTTACTCAATATCGAATAGCAATGAAATAGTTGGTAAACTAAAATAATAAAATATTTTAAAATGTAAGTCATCTTTTTATTCTCCTAAAATTGATGTTGCAATAAAAATCCAGATAAGAGTATAAAAAAATTATCCTGTAATAATGAGATTTTAATTGAGTGTTTTACGAATCCTCTAATTTTATTTTATTATAAGTTCTTAGAATTTATTCATTTATTAAATATTTTATCTAGTATTTTTTAATTTGATGATCAGATTCATTAAAATCAATTAATAAGATGAATTGTTTTAAATTTGTTAATAAACTTGAATTGTAAATTATGATTCCAGATTAGAATAATCTCATCTCCACTTAATTAAATTATTTAGTATCAATTATATTCTTATAAATTTTACTTGTAGCTTTCATTTTTTGTGAGGTTACAAAGTAGATAGAAAAATTATTCAGAGCACTTTCAATATTGTTCAAAAGAATAGGCTAAAATAAAATAGAAGAAATGAACTCATAGATTAAAAAAAAGCTTTTTAAATTATTAATATCAGTTGATTTATCTGTTTGAAATTATGTTATAATACAAAAAAACAAAAAAGTCAAAAATTTTCAAATAGTTTTCAGAAAATACTGCATTAATAGTTATTGTTTATCATTTTATAATCTTAAACATTCTTTTTTGCATTCATTTTTTTCATTACATTTTTTATCACAAATTTAATATTCTTTTCTTAAAGTATTTTATTCAGTCTTATATTTAAAGTATTCATTTGTACAGGAGTTTTAATAATCTAAATCTTTGCTTGATTTCATTTGCTAATCGCATATAGAAATAGCTCTTAAAAAGAGATCTGATTAATTAAATTCCATTAATAAATTTAATAATTTTTTAATTCAATAACTTGATTTATATTGTGTCAAACAAAGAAATGAATTTTAATTTAGGAAATGGGAATATAAATTAAATTTGATCTTATTATTTTATCTAAAAATAAAGAAATAATTCGCTTTAGAGTTAAGTTAGGATAGAATTAAAAATTAAAGAGACATTTATAAAAAACACTTAAGTATTTTTGGTTATAAATTTAATTAATTTCTTAAATTAGTAAATTTTCTTGTTGAGAAAGAATAAATCTTGAATTTTAATAAATTTTTATTTACAAATATTTTAGAAATGTAATAAAATTTAGAATATCGTAGAAAACAAAGTTTATTAGAGAGTAATTTTTCTTACAATATATACTGAGGATTGATATAATATATCAATTCAATCAGTTTAAGTCCCTTGTTATCCTTCATTCCCTTCTTCTTAATCATTTTTTTGTGGTTCCTCTTATTGCTCTTTTTGTTCTTCTTCTGTTTTTTCCTTAAAAATATATTGATTAAAATTACATAATTTTTTTATTCTAAAATGATTGATTAACCACCTAAGTAAGTTTTGTCAAAATCTTCTGGAGGTAGCCTAGTTGCTGCCATTAATTTTTATTTAACATCTTATTCTCTCTATTAAGTAGCTTATAGTTTTTCGACTAATTTAATTTCTTGAGCTTCCAATTATTTGATTTAGTATTCATATTTTTCATTTTCTATAAGAATCTTTTATTTTTCAAGTTCCAGTAACAATCTCACTTTTTATTGTTTCTCTTGTAGTTTTTCTTGAATCACTGCTTATGATAATTTCTCTTCTTCTTTAATTAAAGCAGCTCTCAATTTCAGATTTTATACTTTTTTGGCTTACTCTTAGCTAGTTCTCATCAATTCATATTTTATTGAATTTTTCATTTATAGTGCATCATTATGTTTCATTTCTTTAACTTCTTATTTCATTTTTTTAAGATTCATTCTTTCATATTAAGTTTATTAATATTTTAAGGGATCTAAAATCGATTATTATTGCAATTTTTATTCTTTCTAAGTTTTATGATAAGAAATAAACAATTACTTTTATCTTTTAGGCAAGACGAGAAGCATAAACATCTAAGGCTAATTGTTCTGCCATTTGTACTTTTTTGGACAGTTTCTCATTCTCTTTAGTAAGTTATTTAATTCTGTTTTCAACATTTTACTATTCTAACTCAAGTAATTTTTAACGTTTTTTTGCTTCATTTAAACTAAAATCTTCTTAAGACTTGACTTATTAAGTTGAAGAACTTTGATTTAATTTGGGTAACATCTTGTAATAATTTATTTATTATATATATATATGTAGATATAATTCAGGCAAAGTTTTCTCTTAATGCTTATGATTATGCAATAACTTTTCTTATTCTTTCCTCTATAGATTCAGCTTAAACTTAAGGTTTTTATTAGTTATATTATTAAATTAAAGTCTTCGAATGTTCAATTTCTTATTTTAATCTAGTAATATTTTATTCATTAGAAACAACTTACATTTAGTTTTCAATATTACCAAGCACATTTTATCTTTGTTGATATTAAGGTTATGGTTATTAGTAATACTATTATTATTGATATTATGGGTTATATTAAGGTTATTAAGTAATCTATTATTATTAAGAAAGCATCTATTATTATTAAGCCATTATTTATTATTATTAAGGCATTGCTTATGGTTATTATTATTACTGAGGAACCATTGACTATGGTCTTTATTACTGTGGTTATTAAACTAATAATTATATATTAATAGATTACCCATTCTTGAAGCAGAATGAGATTTCTCTTGATATTCAACTCTTCCATCAGGATAAACTAACTTTTTTATAATTTTGGTTGGAACCCTCTCCCTAGAAACACCTCCTTACATAGTTTGATTCATATCAGGTTGAGTCATCATAAAATCTTGAGAGGGTCTTGATTAATGGTAATTTTATCTTGGTTATTGAGTTTGAGAAAATTGTTATTGTTATTGTTATTATTATTATTATTAATACTATGTTTATTGAGTATTGTATGATGATTATTATTGAATCACCTATTATTGTTATTATTAAAGATATTAAGGAGGAACTTAGGTTTATGGTAATTATTGTTATTAGACTATTTATGGTTAGTAATTTTATTATTCAACTTATTAAGGTAAATATTATAATTATTATTATTATTATTATTAATACTATAATTAAGATTACTGAGCTTATTAATAGGTAATTTACTACTACTATTATTATTAATAAACTAACTATTATTACTACTATTATTATTATTAACATAATTATTATTAGTACAATTGTTACTATTGAAGCAATTGTTAATATTATTATTATTAGACTACTTGTTAATCTTACTCATTTGCTGTTCTTTATTATTCGAGTAGATAATTAAACAAATTGACTGGATCTAACCTTTCATTCTGCTTGAAATTAAGCATGAGAGCTATATTCTCTGCAAATTATAAATTGTATATTTGTGCTACTTCATTGATTCTATCAGAGATCAATCTAAATTATAATCCATTCTAATAGAGGTTATCATTTTATTTAAGAGTACTTGCTTCTAACATTACCATTCCAAGACACCAAACATCATTTTTACTTAGTTATAACTCTGATAAAGGTTATGTAGGGTTTTGTAATATTTCTGGTGCAAGATATTTCAATTTTCCAGACATTAATTATTAAATAGAAGCACCTCTGCCATTAATTAAATTTGAATCTAAAACTTTAAAACTTGAACTGTTTGAATCAAAGAATATTTCAGTTGTACAAATATCTAATAAATGTATGATAATAATTATTTACCTCCATGTGACAATCCCTTTTCTTATAAGAAACTTAATGCACTACTTATGCCTAGAAGTAATGCTTATAAGTCTTCTTCCGGAAAATACTTTTTTGTTCCATATCGTTCTTAAAGTAAAGATGCTAAAGTAATTTAACAAAATTCAAAGAAGTATCGATACTAATCTCCTTCAGGTTATCCTCCCAAAGTTTATAAGAGATGTGGATGTTACAATCCAATTCTCCATTCATTCTATTAGACTTTATTGATTTAAGTAGGTTCAGGTGCTTTCTTTTGAACTGGTCTCAAGAAATCAATCTTATCATTAGGAGCTGATGGTTCGTTACCCATTTATTTTTTTAACGATTTTTTTAATTATAATTGGAATTTTGAAGGATATTAAATTAAATATGATATTTTTATTATGTATTATTGGGATAGCACTATCATCAGTTCACATTAACAAACATGGTAATTTTGTTGATGATGTAAAAACAATATTAATATATAGACTGGAGCAATAAGAATATTCCATGGGTTTAATGTAGTCTATAAACCACCTCCTTATTTTCCAATAACTGATCATTTTGACGTAATGACATCATTCTCTGATGAAGACTGTTAACTCTTAATATCATTAGGGTAATTGAAATTAATATGATCTTTTTTAGATTTAATGTTATTAGATTACATGTAGCATTTGAAGCGGGAATGCCTTAAAGAGGAATAATAAATGATGAATACTTATTGCATATTAGAGATATTGTAAGAATGGCTGCTAAATATAATATCTATGTTATTCTTGATGCTCATTAAGACTTATTAAATAGATAGTTCTGTGGAGAAGGATTTCCAGATTGGGCTGTCACTAAAATTGATTTTCCAGCTCCATAAAATATTTAATTAAGATTAGATGAATAAGGATATCCATTAATAGAAGATTGTCTTAAGTAAGATAACTTTGCTAAATTTTATTTAACTTCAGATGTTGGCAGAAATTTAGAATCAATTTTAAAAAATGAAAATGGTGTAGCTGATATGTTTGGATTATTTTGGAAAAGGGTTGCTGAATTACATAAAACTGAATGGAATGTATTAGGATATGAAATTATGAATGAACCTGCTTCTGGAAATTATTAAAGAAACAAATTTTAATATTTATGGCCAGGATGGGCTAATAAACATTTAATCATGCCATTCTATTAAATTATTAATAAATATATAAGACAAGCTGACACTGAAAAACTTGTTTTCTTTGAACCTTATTTCACAGATGTTTTAGGAGGTGGATTCAGACATAATGTAGGTGGTAGAAAATATTAAAAGAAGGAAGTTTTGAGTTATCATCTTTATTGTGGAATAGGTATTTATATATCTATTATCTAAAGAAAATGTTTCAAAATTCCTTTGCAAACAATTATACAATTTAATGTATCCATTAAAGAAATTAAACATCAATCATCTTGGTACAGGAGCCATGCTTACTGAATTTGGAGCTTTACCAAATCAACCTTTTGCTAAAGATATACTTAATAGTTTATTGTATAAAGCAGATAAATATTTACAATCTTGGGCTTATTGGTAATACAAAGGATATAATGATTTCACTACAGCCTCAAATATGTATGATGAAGGAATTTTCAATTAGGATGGATCACTTTAAAATTATAAAATCGAAGCTTTAGTAAGACCCTATGCTTAATAAATTTGTGCATCTAAAGTTCACTATTCAAAGTTTAATTCAAAAAAATAAGAATTTACTTTGAAATATGATTCCAATAAAAAATGCGAAACTGTAATTTATATCCCAAATATAAATGCTTTTCAAAGTAAATTTAAATTTGTTTGCAAATCTAAGAAAGGAAATTGTTAATTACAATACTTAGATAACAACAGGTATAGAGTGGAAAACGCTTCTGGTCGTGTTAAATTGCTCATATCAGCAATGAATATTAATAAATGATAATTATTTTTAATTACCTAATCTCAATTGTGCTATGTGAATTTCAGAATGGATATTATATAGATAAAAATCAAACAGTTAAAATATTTCATGGAATCAATCTTAATGACTATCCTCAAACAAATATAAATGAAGAGGATTTTATTGCACTTTCAAAAATTGGATTCAATCTAATTAGAATTTCTGTTTTTTTTGATCAACTTATTCCTAATTAACCTATATCTTTATAAAATGTTACTTATAATTCTTCATACTTAACTACTTTATAAAAAATTGTACAATTAGCAAATTAACATAATTTTTATGTTATTTTTGTTGCAGATCATTTATTATTAAATAGATAATTCTGTGGTTATGGATTTCCAGATTGGGCTATTTAAAGGTTAAACTTTCCACTTCCTTATGATAATTCAGGAAAATTAAAATTCGATCTGTATCCAAATAAAGATCAATGTGCAACAAATTTTAATTCTTTTATTAAAACTGATGATGTTGGAAATAATTTTGAAAATCTTTATAAAAATGTAAATAACTTAACTGATTTTTTTGGATTATTTTGGTAAAAAATAGCAGAAAAAATGAAGAATGAAGAGAATATAATAGGATATGATATTCTAAATAACCCATCATGTGGTAATTACTATAAAACATATTATTAATGTATTTGGCCTGGATGGAATAATAGATAAATGATAATGCCTTTTTATTAGAAAATCAATTCATATATAAGAAATGTGGAAAAAAATAAGATTGTATTCTATTAGACTCAAGATACTGATTTTATTGGATCAGGATTTGATAATAATATAAATGGAAGTGACTACCATAAAAGGGAATCTTATAGTTATAGGATCACTTATTCATCAGAATATTTCAAATAATTGGCAACAAATTTGAATTACTATTCAATGTGGTTGGAATCTCGTGTTGGTAAACATGCTTAAGTATCAACATTTCTAGCTGAATTTAGTGGTAATGATGATTATTTAATAAGCAGAATTCTTGATTATGCAGATTTTTTCTAGTCTTCTTGGTAAATAAATTATTTATTAATTTAAGGACATACAAGGGAAGTATATCATAAGCACTAAATTTGACTGAATTGAAAAGACCATATGCTCAATCAATTTGTGCTGAACAAGTTTTGCATCATTAATACGATTCAATTAATTCAATATTTAAATTGCAATTCACAATTAAAAATGAGTGTTCTACACTTTTATTTATACCTTTTGATTATGGGTATTCATGTACCAATTGTATTTTGAGATTTCATGATAAACGAATTTTTGAAATTAAATTAACAACAAATTTATAATCAAAGAAAGTAAATTTAATTTTGTGGAAGAAGTTAACATGATGATATTCATTATAGATATATATACCATTTGGAATATAAAATATTTAATTACATTTATTACATTATTATATATGATGAAAAATTTTTGTTATTAAATATAATTTAAAGTGATATATATATTTTATCAAAATTTATATAAACATGCAAGGTGTTTCTATATTTGATGATGATAAATCAGCTTTGGATAAGATGTAAAACTCTTTTAAGAATCTTCTTTTTGAAATCATCTACTATTTAATTTCTGGAGAGAACTTTCCGCTTTTTCTTTACATCTTTTTTGTTATGATTGAAAGTTTTCAAGTATTTTACTTTGCTTTTAGTGAAGAAGTATACATATTTAAATAAATATGATAGTTTTTATCATTATGGAAGGTGAAATCATGGTCAGAATCCTTTTAATCATTTTTTGGGTATTTTATGATTTCACCATATCTGAAGAATGCTGAATTTCAAAATTTCATATTAGTGCTTTATATCATAATGGGTTTCTTTCTATTGTTGATAATTTTAATTATTTTCATTGCAATAAAAGCATAAACTACTTCAGTGGGTAAGTTGAGTGGACCTTTGGTTGTTCTGAAAATATTTTTTGAAGTACTCAATTATATTTTCTTTATGCCTGCATTACATCTCTTTTTGACTATTTTCTATTGTGATTCATCAACAGGTTTTCATAGATATTATTCTGATTAAGAATGTTATACAGGAAATTACTTGCTGCATGCATTTTTATCTGCTATTGCCGCTTTTATTTTGATTTTTATTAGTGGATTAGTTACAATGACATTTTATGAATCAAGATTTTAACCAAATAATCCACTTTGTAAAATATCTGGAAGAGATGATATGAAGTTTTTAATTTTTAAAATCATTTTAGTATTATGTTTTACATTACTCAATGTAAACGAGTTAAGAATCTTGGTGGTTATCATTATTACTTTATTTGCTGTTATTTAATTTTTTTCATTTAATAAATCAAGTGTCTATTTGAATTACTATTATTCGAAAGTATTGAATTCATAACATGCTATAATTATGTGGACAATTTGTATGATAATTTTCGGAATTATTGTTGAAGATACATATTATGAAGGAGCTCCTTATTTATGGGTTTTTGGTAGTCCACTTTTACTATTGATTGTAATGTTAAGGAAAGAGTATAGATATGATATAATGATGATTGATTCAAATAAATTTGATTCACTTAATTAAGCAATTTAATAATTACAATATTTAACAAAATTTTTAAATTATTATCAGAGTGATAGAAATATAGCTACATTATTAGATGGTTTTGTTGAGTATCATAGAACAATTTGTAAAAGAGAAGACTGTCCTTGTTAAGCAAAAAATATGGGGAATAAAAAAATTGCAAAATTTTAGAAAAACTTTAAATTATAGAATTAAGATGATGAAATAAAAGAATAGTATGTTGTTTTAGTTTATATAATTGAAAGAATATTTACTTTATCATTAACTAGATTTCCAAATTGTACAGAATTAAGAATTTCTCATTCTTTATTTTTAATGGAAAAAATGCAATCAAATCAATAAGCTTTATAAGAGTTAGTAGCAGCAGAATAAGAAAAACCATATATTGATGAATAATTTATAATTTATAGATTGAAAAAGTTAATAGAAGAGTAGATGTTTGAAAATTCAAAATCAACAAAAAATCCAGCCGCAGGAATAGATGCAGTAAATGAATTAACAACTGAAAATAATTTAAGGGAAATAAGAGCTTAAATAGAAAAATCAGCATCATAACATATAGAATTTTGGTCATAATTAAGTGAAGACACTCCAGATTTAGGAAAACTGTATGATGTTGGAACTAGAATGATGTATATAGATAAGATGTTAGAAGATTCATGGAAAAGAATAATAAAAATGAATTTAGATGTTCCACCTAATTTGATGATGATATATTCTAGATATTTAGTAGATATTCTTTATGATAAAGAATCAGCTGAAGAAGTATTGGAAAGATTAAAGAATTTTTATTCTGTTAATATGGATAGAGGCAAGATCACAAACAATATTAATGATTTCCCTAATGAGTCAACTGCCTTAATTAGTATTTCAGCAGAAGATGTAACTTTTGGAAGAATCATAGGATTAAATATGTCAGCATCTAAAATGTTTGGATATTCAAAAAGTGAATTGATTAACAGAAAGGTTAATATTTTAATGCCAAATGTATTTGCTCAATCACATGATTAATTTATGGAAACATATTTATAAACTTATGAAAGTAGAATTATGAATAGAGAAAGAATGATTATTGGTAAATCTAAAAATGGATATATCTTTCCATTTTTTATATATGTAAGATATGTTCCATCATTTATTCATGGAGCTTAATTCTTTGGAGCCATGAGATAAGAAAAAGTATTCAAAAATGTTGCTTTTATGATTGTAAATGGATCAACTTAAGAGATTGAAAATATTTCTGCTACTTTTATTACTATGTTTCATATAGATTTAAATTATATTACAAAAAAGAAAACTAAAGTCACAGATTTAATACCAAATTTTTAAGAAAATATCACAGAATATTTAAATAAATCAGGTGCAGAAGCAGATATCAATTTTAAAAATAGAGATTAATCTGTTTAAGGTAAATTTAATATAACTGCTGGAGAGATTATGTTTAGAGATTCTAAATTATAAGGTTATATAATAAAGATTGAAAATAATAAATTGGAAAAATCATTTCTTAATCCTAATGAATAATCATAACAAAAGAAATAATAATCATAAACGAAATTCTATTTTTAATTTGATTAAGCTTAACATATATTTGTAGGAGAATATTCAGGAGATTAGAATTTCTAAATGTCTGCAATTTCAAGTGTTAAATAAGATGAAACTTTTGATTACTCATAGAGAGAACCATAGAAGGAGGATGAAAAGACACCATCTTCAAATGTAGGAGAAAAGGATGATAAAGTAGATTTAGCTTTGGGAATTAGAACAATGAGATATATAAATGGATAACTATTTGACATTGAAGAATTTAAAAATTAGGATTCCGATGAAGAAGAAGAAAATGATTCAAAAAGACAAGGAGGAAATGCAGGAATGTAATAGATTTAAAAAGAAGATGATGAAGAAGAAGCAGAAGGAGGTCATGCTAATATTTATAAATCTAGAAGAACATTTGTATAATTCTTGTAAGAAAGTAGAAATGTTAATCAAAATAGTATGATTTGTTTTAAATGGAGTGCTGCTATTTTAATTATATGTTTAGGAGTTTTAGGACTTTTGGATTATGTGCTGACATAATCCTTATTTTCTGATATTCAATAAGGATATATCATGATGCAAGATTCTAATATTAGAGTTGCATTAGGTCAGAGAATTTAATGGCAAATTATGGAATTGTGTAGATTAAATAAGATTAATGTATTAGACACAGATGATAAGGTTAAAATGTAATTGACAAATATGAATACAACCATAAGTGATTTAAAGGATATCTAATCAAAAATTTAATCCTCAACAGAAGTCTCAGGAAGATAAGATGAATTAATGACTACAAACACTATCAAAATGATTAGTAAAGATAGCAGTGGATCTGAAAGCAATCAATTAGTTGATATTAATCAAGGGACTTCATAGATTATATCCAAAGCATTTGAAATTATGAACTTTGATATCAAAGAATTCAACCTAGATTCTGATTCAATCTTTTTCATTCGATATAATTTGCTTAATGATTATTATCAAGCAACTTTGGAAAGTGCAGATCTTTACACAAACCAATTAATTAGTCTGGCTTTTGATTCTGATGTGTTATTAATACTACTTATTGTAGCTTGTGTATTTACAGTTATTTCTATACCCTGGATTGCTTGTGCTTTTAATTTAGTCTCATAGAATTAAGAAGAAGTTATCAAACTTTTCTTAGAGATCCCATTAGCTAAAGTAAAATAATTATTTACCAAATGTGAAGCATTTTCAAATACTCTCTAAATAGGTGAAGACGAGGATGCTAATTAGGAGAATGATTTATCATTTGAAGAAAATGAAGAAGGTGAAGGAGTTGTAGAAGAATTCGGAAGAAGAAAAAAAAGAAAGAAGTATAAGTATGATTCAAAAGATAAACGTAATTTCTACATAAAGTTTATAATTTCAATGGGATTGTTGATTGCTTACTTTATTGCTCATTATCTTATTGGTGCAAATTTATAAAGTTCGATGTAATAACTCATATAAGAAATGAATGCCACTTCACTTGCAGTTCCCTCAATAACTTTTGCTAATAATGTCTTTAGATAGATGTTATGGGATCCCACTTTCCCAGTAAAAAATAATGTTTCAAAAACAATCTCTGCAGATTTTGTAAAAGATTTATACAATTTGAACACAAATATGCAAAAAGATCATTCATTAAATTTAGGGTATCACAATTCAATTTACAATGATTATTTTGATTCAATCATGAAAGCAGGAGCATGTGCTTAAGTTATTTAAGTTGCTCCTGTAGATTTAGCTACATGTTAAGCATTTGTAAAAGGAATTGTTGATGAATCTTTAGCCTTGGCTCTATCTAGACATTTTGAAAACCTTAGGTATTTACTCACAGTTTACGATTCTCTTCTAAATGATTCTTCTGCCACCACCATTGCAGGAACTCTTTACAATTTTACAGATAATCTGTAAACTAATAAAATTCTATCACTAATGTATACAGATATTGCTGCTATTGAAATTAGTAAATTATTTATAATTAAATAGATTAAATGCAAGATATTTACATAAGATCAATCTTTTCATAATTGCTTACTACTTTTAATTAAAGTTTGCAAAAAGATATTGATACCAATACAACTACAACTGTTACTATTTTTATTGTTTTCTTAGTTGTATTGATACTAATTTATTTATTATTCTGGTGGCCTATTGCTAACAAAATTAATAATGAAGTAATTAATTAATCTATTTCAATTTTTTTAGATCAGAAGAACAACTTTGTTATTATCAATGATACCTCTAAATCTCATTCAACGTATAAAAGCCATTAGAGAATATTTAAATAGGATACATAAAGTCGATTAATGATTAATTTATTCCAATTATTATTGTTTTTATGATTTTATATTATATTCTTCTAGCCTCTTTAAACTTTGCACACTCAAGTCAAATCTGCAAATCTTTGCATGTTAGCACAAATCTCAAAAAAACTAGAGATGATATAGTTTCTAAAGGTATTCCATCCAAATAATGGAATAGAAAAGCTAGTATTGTTATCTTCTTATTAATTTAGAAAATCCAATCATAGTCCCAGCTTCTTAAAATATTGATTATCTTTATATAACAAGTGATAATCCTAATATGGGTTTAGATAATTTCTAATTGGATTTTGATGATCATTACTTTGCAGATTCTACTATAAAATTAGATCATAGATAAAATGGATAACATACAGAATATGCTATTCAAGTAAATTATAAATGCAAACAATATGGTGGAACTCTTATCAATTATGAAATGACTTTTTTGGTACCAAATTGTGGAGATACTCAAATTTATTGGAAAAAGTTTTGTGGCAACCCACTCACATTAAGAGAAGGATTTACTGTAGATATGATTTATAAAAACTATAGATAAGCAATAATTAAAAACTCAGAAATTATCAATGCTTCATATTTTGATTAAGATTTAGATAATTATGTTTTCAATGTAGCTAGAGATATTAATGTTATTTAATTTGTTTTACAAATGAAATCATCTAATCCTACTAATGATCCTATTCCAGAAGGTTTCATTACTGATATAGAAACACTTAAAGCTATTCCGGAAGTTAATTTGACCTAACCATATGTAGATATTGAAATGGAAAATGTAACAAAAGCTTGGTTTGAAGGTGATCTAGCCAAAGGAGGCTTAATTACTGAAAAAGAAAATTTACTTACACTTAATTTTAAATGTTTTGGCATAGGGACTTCAAAAATTGAAATTACTTTTCCATTTCAATACTTTAAAGATATTACATTAGTCATTGTAAAAGATTGCAATTTTGCATATAAAGTATAAAATGTTATTAATGCAAAATATTAAGAGAGTGATAGAATTAGTAATTATATTTTAATTATCATTTAGCCTTTATCATTTATATTATCATCATTTGTATAGTGACAGGTTTATTTGTTAATTTATGCATTGGTAGAAAAAAAGGCTTAGCAAACATTCCCTTGTTGATAACCTTTATTAATACCATATTATGTATCACTTGCTAATAAAAAAGGTATAAAGATTTTAAATTTTAGTTGCTTAGGTAAATTCATTAGAAAAAGACTAGGATTAATAGGAGAATCATTCTTAAATGATGAACCAGATGAATCTTTTACCTCTAGTTAGAAATAATTTTATGGATCTATTTGAAATAACAATTTGTGTTTATTTATCAATTCAAAAATATGAAATTTATTTATAAATGATATTAAAATTTCATATATCTTTGTTGAATTGAAACAAAACACTTAAAAATATTAATCATTTTTTTTTTATTTACTAAATCTGTAATTTTATAGCTCTAATTTATGCTAAAGTAGAGTCTATTCTACTTTCTATATCATTATTTTTGAGTTAAGGTGATATTTATTAGGCTGGAGATAAAAGATTTGAAGATTTATAAAATTTTTAGGCTGACTCTGAATATCTAATAAAATCTTGAGATTTCTATTCACTACAGGAAGAATCTTTGAAAGTAGAATCTTCAGTTAATCCTTAATGGATTTTATTCGAATAAAATTTTCTCTATGATGAACTATTTGATTGATTGGAATTCTTAAACAAACCAGAATTTTTATAGTTTGAAAGAATGACAGATTCTTTCTTTAATGACATTGTATCCATTTACTCTGCATAATTGCTATTTTCATTTTGAGATATACGTGTTAAGTTTTTATAATTCTTATATCTATCGTTTAAGTTATCGATTTATTGTTTTCTCTATTTCTATGGCTTTATTTTTTTGTTGCAATTTAACATTTGCATCCTTTAGTAATTCAGATTGTAATTCATTTTATTTTTAAAGCAATTTAACATGATTCAACGCTCCTGTAATTTCTTTAGAAAGCTATTCTATTTTATTCTCTAATACCTAACCAAAATTAAATACTAAGTTACTTGATTTTTCAAAATCTAATCTGATAATCTTTCTTTCATATTCATCATATTGATATATGAGAAAGTATTATTATTATCTTCACTTGTCTTTTCTCCTAGTGATATTCTTGATAATGTGGCTGATTATTCATATAAATTTTATCCCAACTTAAATTTTTCATAATAGTCTTATTGTAATAAGTAAACATAATCTTAATTATTATCTTGAGAATTGTTTTCGAATGAATTCCCTTTATCCTCTTCCTTATTCATTTTTAATTAATTAATAATATTTAATGATTATAATTCTTATAAATAATAAAATAAATATTTTTTAATCTATCAAATGAAAAATTTTAAACATTATTTATGATTTAAGTTATTGAATTTAATACCATCATTGATTCTGATTAGAAAAACTAGATGATTTTCAGGGTATACATATACATTATAATCTGTATTGATAAAAGAATTATCATTCAAATTGTCAATTCTTTTTTTTCTAAATTATTCAGAAATCAAGGAGTAACTTCAATTCAAATACAGACTTGATTATGATGAACCATATTCTTTTAAGTTCTTTTATATTGGCAAATTTTTTTTGTTAATACTTAAATCATAATAAGATATTGTAACTCTTATTTCTTTTCTTCTCATTTTTTAGATCTCCTTACTTCTTTATCCATCTAAAACAGACGTAGAATTATTTTACTAAAGGATTTCAATATTAATTCCTACAATTACATCAAACCTATTTAATTAAGCCTATTATTCAGCTGTAATTTTAAGTAATTTTTCTTCTAAATTGTATTAAGTTTTGATGTCAATGAATTAATTCATTTATATAAGAGTCATTTGAAGTATTTCAAGATATTATAATATTAAATATTGATTAGATAAATTTTTCTTAATTAAATTAAAATCCTAAGGCTATTAATTTTAATGATTTTATGTTTTAAATACGACTCTCTTAGAATTAACCACAAAAGTATTAAAACAATATATAAAGAATTAAGAAAACTTTGAGGTATTATTACTAATCTTATTAAATTCACAAATAAATACTTACAAATTTTATTCTTGAATTTATTTTCTTCTCATCCTAATTAATCACAACAATAATATTTTTCTTTCATAATAGGCATCTAAGATTTATTTCTCTAATTTATCCAGAATCTATAAATTATTGTTTAAGAATAATTGTTTATATTATAATCCTATTATTATAAATAATAATAATTTATTTAAATAGAAAATTAAATTTTTTATTAAATATAATTTTATTATTATTTTTTAATATTTTGAATAGAAAATAATTTCAAAATATTTAACCCATAAAAATAACTTGAGATAACAAATAATTTGAATATATTAATATAATCTCTAAGTAAAATAATATCGACAAGATAAAAAATAAAAGTATATAAGAAGTTCATTATAATAAGTATTAAATATTAATTGGTGATTATTTTTATAATGGATTAACACAAATGATTAATAAGAATCCAATTAAAAATAGATTTGTTATTTAGTAGGTTTTTTTTGGTATGTATATATGAGAATATTAATAAGTGAAAAAACACAATAAAATATTAAAAGATAAGTATTGAAATGGAATGAAAGAACATATTAGTAAACGATGAAATCTGAAAGAAGTTATTTAATATAAATATGAACTAATTTTTATTTAAATTGATTATTTATTTTTATTTCTAGAATAACAATTAGGATCGCTATGCTATTTAGAGGGATAAATAACTACAAAAGCATGAATATAATTTTAGATTAGACAGAGAGTTAAGGAGCTTTGTGGTTAGGAGACTACACAGCTGCATTTAATTAATAACTCTTAAAATAAAAGAATATAAAAACAGTATTAACAGTAGCATCTGGATTGAATGTAAAATACCCTGCTAATTGTGATATTGTTCATAAAGTATAAATTCAATAATTAATTATAGGTTTACAATATTCTAGATATTGAATCATGTAATATAAAAAGAATATGGGGAGATACCTACTAATAAATAGAAGAAGGACTTTAAAAGGGGAGTGTCTTAGTACATTGCGCTGCAGGTGTTTCTAGATCAGCTGCTACAGTGATAGCTTATCTAATGAGAAAATAAGGAATGTCATTTTCAGAAGCCTTTTAATTTACAAGATTGAAGAGAAGTGTAGTGTGTCCAAACTTTGGTTTTTAAAGATAGCTCAAATAATTTGAAAAAGAATTATAAGGTGTTAATGGAAAATCTGATACTGATAATACTCAATAATTATAAATATCCTAACAATAACAAATAATTAAACCAATCACACAACAACAATAATTATCAAATCTAACAATATAACCTCATTCAATTTAAATTACTGAAAAAAAATAAATAATCAGAAGAAATTAGTTAACTCCTGCTTCTAAATTTCCTAAAACCACATATCAAAGTAATGGAAAACAAGCTCAATCTTTAAAAAAATGATTTTTTATATATTTATAATAATTATCAGCATTCCATAAAATATTTTATTTATTGTCAAGTAAATTTTTTTGTTTTCCTTTTATTACTAATAATTTTTTCATATAACATACTATTTTTTCCAAATAAATTCATAATTATCTGAAGATATTAAGAATATATCATAAACATTCATTGTTATCTTTAAACAAAATAAATTTTATCTTAATTAATTCGGTTCTCATTATGAGAACTTTTAAATTGATGCTGAATTTTTAATGAATACACATTACAAACTTGTAATAATTAATGAAACTTATACTTCATATAAAATTAGAATACAAATAATATAAAAATTGTAAATGATGAAAAAGCATTCGTGTTTAAAAGGCATAATTTGAATTTATGATTACCTTTGATTTATATTTTTATTGATTTGATATCTAGGTATACAAGATAAAAAATTAATCCTAATTAATATGGTATTGTAGGAATGTAATCATTTCTAAAATAATAGTGTTTATGTTTATATATGAAATTTATAGTAAATAATATTATTTTTCCATTTAATGATTTTGAGTGATAAATTTATCGATGAAGTATAAATATTAGATGCAGTGGATTTGACTTAATATGAAAAAATCATAAATTTTGCAATAAGTTATATTGTTAAGCATGATACTTAAACAACATTAGCAGGTTGAGATTAATATTAATTATATTTACAGAGGTACTTGAAATTGATGAGAATGAAGCAGATAGATTATTTAAATTAGCATTGAAACTTGTGTCTTATTTTGGGAAGTTTAAATTTGGAGATAGATAATTTAGATAGAATGTAGAATTTCTGAAATTTAAGGAAGATAGGAAGGCATTATTTTTATAAGTAATGAAAATATTTAATGTATGTAGAAATTAGAGGCAAATTCAACATAGTTGCATAAACGATTAAGTTTCATTGAGTCAGATGGAATGCCTTATTATAAGAATTTAGAATGGAGATATGATATTTAAGTGATATTTTATTAATATAAATATAGATTGCATCTAGAGGATATGAAGAAGAGTTTAAGCCTAGAATATTTATGAAATTTGATTTGGAGTATGATAATTCAAGTGAATGTGGAAAAATTGAATAAGTATTATTAGAGACTGATTATGCAAATTTAAAAAACCTTCAATAAGAAATAAGTTATTTGGTATCATAATTAGAATCAGCAAGATAATAAAAAATAAAGAAGTTAGGATAGATGTTATGATATTTATAAAAATCTAAATAAAAAAAATTAATTTGTTAAACAATGTCTTCTAACATATATTTAACATAGACTTAAATTCATGATTTGTTTTAGCTTTGTGAAACAAAAAAAACTGAAGTTAAAACATTAGAAATACCCTCATTTGGAGATGTAAATTCAAGTCAATAATCGCCTGAATTCCAGTAGGAAGTAAATGAATTATTATTATAATTGAAGGCATACTATTTTCTGTCTAGTTGCAAAAAAGATGAAAATTACACTACAAATCCTACAAATAACACTAATCGTCACTTAAGTTAAGATTCTATTATAGAGTTGAAAGATGATACAGTTAAAAGTATATAATAATGTATATATAGTTCAGTATCGAAGTCTGAATATGAAAGTTTGAAGAGAGATGCTTAAAACTATTAGACTTTGATGAAATTGAATGATAAATTGAAGGCTCATAAATAACTTATTAATCAGGCCAATTCTTACCGATGTATAATTGGTTGTTATTAAAAATTAGCTTAGATATATGTAGAATAAGAGTGTAATAAAAAATTACAGGGACACATTTATGAACTAATTTAGAATATTAAAATGTTGGAAGGCGAGAATTAATAGTTTTCGGAAGATTTATTAATACTGAGATTATAAATATAGGATTAATTAAAAATAATTCAGCAAGGAAAGATTGATATGGAAAGATTAAAAATATTAATGATTGAAAAAGATGAAAATTTGATAAAATTATAAGATAAATACAAAAAACTTTTGAATGAGACCTAGAGAACAAAGAATTCTAAAAGTGCTTAGAGAAGTACATATGTTTCTACTCATACTTCGAGTCCTTTATTCAAAGGTTTATCTAGAATTTGTCTAAATAATTACTGTAACACAAGTTTTGTGAGTGAAAAATAGCGATGAAAAGCTATTTGTTTTTTCCATGATTTATGATTTATGATTATTATAATTATAATTATCATTTAATAGGTTTCCTTTTAATTTAGATGGCTAATTTTAATTTTAGAATTATTTTGGAATAAATTTTGATCATGTATTTAGCCTGAAAATAATGTTTTTAAACTTTAATCTTTCTAGCCATTTAAAGAGAGTTAATATACTCACTTGATCAATGAAAAATTTCTCAAGTTGTACTTATTTATCCTCTTTAATAATAGTTTGAGCAAGTAATTTAATCTTTTTTCAGATTATTTTAAAAGTGTAAACCTATATCTAAATAAGGTCTTAATAATATTACATTCTATTTTTTGATGGATTCATATTTGCTTGATTTTGAAAAGACAAATGAATTATGGTAATTATTATTACTGATATAATTAACTTTATGAATTTTTTTTTAAGTCTAACTTCCTCCAAATTTAATATCTTATTATTATTTATTATTTTTAAATAAGTTAAGATATCTTTTTATTAAATTCAAAATTAGGTAAAATCAAAATTGATTATTTTTTTTTTAATTCATTAAAAAGATATATCCCTCTATGATCTTTTCCACTACCACTAACATTGTAAACTTATTTCCTTTAGCTTCTTTAATAAATAATATTGAATATGAATGACTAAGAATTAAAACATTCACTTTAAAAATTATTTACCTTTTTTAAAAGCATAATTAATTTCTATGTGCTACTAAGGAAATAAATCATCTATTTATCTCTAAATAAATTCATCATTCTTATAAATCATAATCGGCTTTATTATATATAATTATTAGAATTCATTTCTATAACTATATTTTAATCACAAACCAAAATATTCTCACTTTTCTATAAAGTTAATGATGAATTACATAAAAATAATCTATTCAATTGCCTCTTTAAAATGTAATCATTTATGAACCAATCTCAATATTCTTTAATAATGGAATTCCTAGAATTATTAAATTTTAATTTATATTTGTATTCATATTTAAAAATAATAAACAATGTAGAAATTATGCATTTTAGCCTTTTTGCTTATATTTGGATAAGTGGTGAATTGTTAAAAAAAATCTTCTGAATCTGAAGGTTTTAGAGGTATTTAAAAGATCTATCTAAGTATTTCCATATATTTTCATCATTTCTTTTGTCTTCACAGCGATAATCATGATTATTTGTGTAAAAAATGCAAGAAGAAGACAATAAGAAAGGATAGCAAGATAATAATAATTAATATTAAGGATGGCAGAAGAATATCCTCCTTAAAATTATGTTTTTGTTCATTAAGTTCCGACCAATCAAGACCAGCAACCTCCTCAATTCACAAATAATGAACCCTTTAATCCCTAATCTTAAAATTGGAATCCATAATATTAACATAATCAACCTATGTCTACACAATAATAATAAATTCCTCCATAAATTCCTCCATAAATTCCCCCATAATATCCTCCATATGTAAATCAAAATTATTATTAACAACCAACCTAAAATTAATACTATTAGAATATGTAAGGATAATAAGTAAATGCATACCCACAATAAGGAATTCCAATAAATTAAGGTTATCCAAAATGATATTTAGATTTATTATAAATTTATAATTCAAAATTGATTAATAATATAATATAAATGAGATGTGGATTACTAAAAAATTTTGGACCAACTTAAATATTCCCAATAGAGAAATAATAAAGAGCTTGTTCACTTAATAATATAACAAATAATGATTTAAAAGGATAAGTTAGTAGGAAAGATGAGAAAGATAAGAATGATAAGAAATCAAAATCTGTAAATACTTTTGGAGTTGAATGTAGTTTAGAATAATATTATATAATTAGAGAGAGAGTTTTATGATAAATTAAGATTGAAAGGAAAGGAGAAGAGAATGTAATGATTAGTGAATTTACATGTAGTTAAAATTAAAATTTGCATAAACCTATTTTTAAGTTAAAAGGTGATAATATTGTAGTGATGAAATAAAAAGATAGAGAGTTATATCCTGCAGATATTTAATGGAATAATGGTTAAATAGGTAGGATATAGGGAGAGATTAGTGGTAAGATTGATAAGAATTATGCAAAGGTATATAATAATATAATATAAGATAAGAAGATATTTAGAAGGTTCATCAAGTGTGATTGATTATTCAGATACAAAAATGTATGACAAATTCAATTCATATTCGAATATAGTTAATTAAGAACGGTTTTCTAAAGATTGTGATATAATGTTTAGAACAAGTAATAATGCTCAACCAGGAAAGTAATAATCAATTGGAGGGATAATTAGAAGTAAATATGAACCAGATTGGATTCAAAGAGGAAAATACTAATGATTTTAATTGTTATAGAATAAAGTGCAGATATATAATATTAAATAAAATTAGATGGGGCCATATCTAAGTTAACCAAATAAAAATAAATTGACTACTACTGGAGAAGGAATTTCTGTGATATTTGCAGCTTCTGAAATGCAAGGTAATAAAGAGAATTAAAATAAAAGGTTGGAGAAACACAATGGAAGATGCCCATATTAATAGACCTGATTTAGTACAAGATGTATCTGTTTTTGGAGTGTTTGATGGACATGGAGGAAAAGAAGTAGCAACATTTGTAGAAAAACACTTTATTGATGAATTGTTAAAAAACTAAAATTTTAAGAATTAGAAATTTGAGGAAGCTTTAAAAGAAACCTTCTTAAAGATGGATGAATTATTAATGACACCTAATGGATAAATAGAATTGAATAAATATAAAGCTAATGATTCTGATGGTAAATATATTATCTCAATAATACTAGATTCTTATGCTGGATGTACTGCTAATGTTGCTTTGATTCATAAAAACACTCTCTATGTTGCTAATGCTGGAGATTCAAGGTCAGTCTTGTGCAGAAATAATACAAACTATGATATGAGTTATGATCATAAACCAGATCATCAAGATGAAAAATCAAGAATTGAAAGAGCAGGTGGTTTTGTTAGAGATGGAAGAGTTAATGGTAATTTATATTATTTTGATCATCTTTAGGAAATTTAAATTTATCAAGAGCTCTGGGGGATTTGGAATATAAATGCGATAGTAAATTCAAACCCCATGAACAATTAATCATAGCAACTCCAGATATTAAATAAACGATATTATGTCCTTAAGACTAGTAAAGATTTAATAGATATTGAAGATTTATTTTGATGGGATGTGATGGTATTTTTGAGACTCTTACTCATGATGAATTGTTGAATCATATAAATTAAAAATTAGGTTCTGCTCTAGTTACTCAAGAATTATTAAAGGAAGTTGCTGAAGATTTGTTAAATAAATTGTTAGCCCCAGACACAAGCCAAGGAACAGGATGTGATAATATGTCAGTCATTATAGTGTATTTGAAAAAATGAATAGGATTCACAAATATAATGTTTTAGTATAACATATAAGAATAGATTCCATTCTATTGCATTATATTGATTGCAATCTTAATCTTTGCATTATTCTATCAATTTATGTAATTACTTATTTACAAAAATCCTTTTATCCTATTCCTAATAATTATTTTCAATTAAATTGTAGTATTCATATTGTTTTATATGATAATCTCTGAAATTTAGAAATTCTTCTTTTAATCGTTCAAATTAAGGAAGAAAATACTTGCAAATATTTTTATCTTCATTTTCAAGATGTTTTAAAAAAATTAAAAATTTATTGCCACAAATACATCATTATCTCTAAATTCCAATCATTCTGCAAAGTGAATATTTTTTTTTCAATTTTATTTTCAATTATATAAGAAAATAGCATTAATTATATATATTTTCTTGGTTCTAAAAATAATGTAAACCTTTTCCCATTATGTCTCATATTCTATTAATAACTCTACCAATTCAATATTATTTTTTTATAGCTTTTGCTTATAATAGATATTAACTCTTAAATCACCTCTTTCCTTATTCTCTACATTTGCTACTGAATTTATTTTTGCAATTACATTACAAAACTACAATAATCTTATTGCCATACTGCTGTTTTCAATTCTAAATAATTCTCACTTGTAACAAATATCATCCCTCTTAATTTCTCTCTTACTTCTATTGACTGCATCTCTATATCTTTTTATATTGCCTATAATATAAATTTATGAGCTTTTCCTTAATCAATTCTTTCATATTAAACTATTATTATTCATTGTTATTATTTTTTACATTTTCTAATTTAACCCATATTTCATCAAAATTTTCTAATAAAAATTATATCTTTACTTTCAGTTTAGACTTTGAAAAATCAGAAGCTCTCTTATAAAGTAATTGCGTCCATCTCTAAGCTTTATTCCAGCTTCCAAAACTTCTACTGTAAATTAATATTTCTCAGCATTTACTCATAATTATAGAAACCTTAATGTAAATTTACTTAAAAAAAGCTTCTTAAACACTATCATATCTAATTTCAGCCAAGTAACATAATTCTATGTATGAAGAATTTTATATGCTTTTTTAAAATTATTATATTCTTTGGATTCTACATTAATCTGATAAACCTATATTATTATGCATTTTATATTTATTTTGCACATTTTTTCGAGATATTGAAAAAACTTTTTATATAATTTCTATCCCTCAGGATTATCTAGATTAGATGTTTTACTTATTTAAAAAATCATGAATTTTATAATCAACAATTTCAATTTCTCACTTAAATCTCTATATTTTCTTATATTCCTGTTTAAGTTTCAAATTAAAAGCAATCTTAATTCAATCTAATTTGAAACATCTTAACAGTAAGAATTGAGGATTAAATTTCCATTTTCTATTGATTCATTTTGATTTTATAATTTCGATCATATTTCAACTATACTAATTTGGAATTTTAAAATTTCATATTTATTTTTAATTCAATTTAAAGACGAGAAAATAAACTCTGCTAAGGCTTTTTATATCTCAAGCAAAAATGTATCAAACTTCTTCTACGATTTAATAACTCTTTAAATTTGTCTTTCCAAATTCTCAAACACTTTTATATTTACTAACTCTATAGCCTAAGTTCTAGCATTCATTTTTAGCTCTCCCTCTTATTATATTCGATCAATCATTTCTACAAAGGAATCATAAAATTAAGATTTGTATCTATGTTATAATCTAGCTTTCAACCAACTAGTATTTTCCAAGAATTTCAGATCAATTTTATACTTTGAATTTGCATTTTTAAATATCTCTAGTAAAACTTATTTATTACCCAATATTTTTATTTAAAATATCTCCCCATTAACATGCAATCAATTTAACAAATCTTTTTGCAACCATATGTTGTTTAATTATTTTTAAATTCATTCTATATTCTAATTTCTTATTATATTATGTTATCTAAACTATTCTATATTCTATGCATCATCAAATAATTATTCCATTCAATAAATTCATTCTTTATTTCTCCTAAATTAAGTAATAAGAAACACCTATTATTGGATATATTGGAGTTCTTTGATAATAAATTTAAGGATAAACTGGATATTCAAAATTTGTTTATTTTAACTCAAATGAATCTGATTCACTTTTAACTTATAATCCATTCAATTCATTTTTATATCTTTGAAAGGAGTTTTCAAACTCTAGTGTTGATAAAATCCTTATAAATTACATTTTAGAATTGGAATGTTTGAGCTAGCATTATTATTAAAATCCATAATTTATTATATAATGTATTCTATAAACATATTTCTTAAAAAACTTTATAAATTAATGTAAAATAAGTATTTAAATAATTATATATAGACTTCTAATTATATGAGAAAAAAATAAAAATAATGTAAAAAATTTTTGAAACATATAAAAAGAAGAAAAAAGTGTTGAAATATTTATTTAGAAAGTTGTTAAGAGTTAAGAAACTAAATCATAACACTTAAATTAAATGGAAAATTACAAAAAATTTGGAATAAATTTTAAATTTCTAAAATAAAGAGTTAAAAATGGAAAAACAGAAAATGGATTAGATTAATGAAAAAAAATGTTGAAAAACTTTTTCGGGAGAATTAAGATTAAGAAAATTAAATATAGCAAGAAAAATTAATTGTAAATATAGATCCTTAAATGAAAATAAAAGTAATTTAAAGGCCAAAATAATTAACAAACATATCCTAAAAAATTTAATACAAATTTACTGAGAAAGGAGGTGCTAAGAAGTGTTTTATATTTTGTGTAATTTTTAATAAAGATACTTATATATATAAATTATAATAAATAAAATTGACTTTTTTTTTTGTATTTAATGATTTAAGAAAAATATTATATATTAAGAATCATAGTAAATTGCTTTATTATGTAAAGTATAAGGAATACCTAAGATTTTAATATTTTTTAAGACTTTTGATATAAGTACCAGATAAAGTAATAATTAAAATGTTATTTTTGATCTTAAAATGATTCTTATGTAAGTAAATAAGTGAGTTAAAAAATTTTGAACTATAATATTATCTTATTTCAAGGAATAGAATATATTTATTAATGTTTAGATTATTGATTCTTTGAAGAATAATTAAAACTTTTAATGATTAAATTAGAAGACTAATATGATTCGGAAATAGTATATTTAAAAAAATAAAAACGAAAGTAGGATTATACTTAGTTATAATTTTTAGAGAATTGAATAAAAGAGATAATTAATAATAGTTAATAGATATAATATAGTTGAATTTATGATAATGAATAATGCTCTATTAATCACCATTCTAAGAAGGGATCGTCTGCTGGTTTAAGAGCAGGACTTTATGTATCTGATTCTGGATAGGATGAAAAATTGGAAGTGTCATTAGGAGCTCTATAAAAAATGTATAAGAATAGATACTTGACAACTGGTTTATATGGAACAGGTAATTTCTTTTAAGTAAGAAGATTCCAATCTAGATTTGCAAACCATCTATGATTTTTTACATCAGCAGCACCTAATATTTAGTAATAAGATTGATACCATTTTTTAAATTTCCATATCTTTTAGAAAGATCAGCTACAAGTAAATGTTTGACTAACGATTTTCCATTCCTTTAAGGAGAATAGAATAATATAATTACTTATCAAATGTTTTTGGAAATTTAACTTTACCTTTTAATATTTTTTGATAAATAGCCATAGGATCTTCATCAGAGAAAGGATCAATTCCAGCATTCATTTCATAAATTAAGATTCCTAGAGTCCACCAATCAACAGCTTTTCCATGTCCTTTATTCAATAGAATTTCAGGAGCTAAATATTCAGGAGTTCCACATAATGTATAAGTTCTTCCTTCGACAACTTTAGCAAAACCAAAATCAGTTAATTTAAGATATCCATCATCTGCAATTAATAAGTTCTCTGGTTTAAGATCTCTATAAATAATATTCTTAGAATGTAGATATTCAAAGATTGAAGCAACTTAGGCACCATAAAATCTAGAAATAAATACAAGATATTACGCTGCATGTTATGTATCAAGTCTTCCAATACTTCTTAAATAAGTGAATAATTCACCTCCAGAAACGAATTCTAATACTAAATAGAGATATCTAGGATCTTAACAGAAGCCTTCAAAAGTTACCTAAGAATGATCATAGAATCTACAATAAATGGATGTTATAAATTTCCTAAAATAGTGTTTTCATTAATGACATGATCAACTTGTTTAAGTCTAATGATCTCTGCTTTTTTTAAACTTTTCAAAGCAACATATTTATTAGTTTGTTTATTCCTTGCCAGTTTCACTCTTCCAAATGAACCTAAAATTCAACATTTTATTTATTTATTACCAGTACCCAAGGTTTAAAAGACTTCATAATCTGTAAGTTTTAGTTTTTTAGGTTTAGCAAGTGCTGTGCTCATGAATATAAAGATTTAAATAAATTATTTAATGGTAATAACTTAATATATAAATGCTCACTTTTTATTAAATATAGATAAAAATATAAGGTATAAACTGATTTAATTATCTTAAAGATTTGTGTCTACATACTAGATGATTGTATATTATAAATGATATTTGTTATTTACTAAATAAATCATAGCTTAGCAAATCCATATCCTTGAGCATTATTTAGATCGTTGAATAAGTGATTTCCATAAGCAAATCTTGATATTTATCTAAGATGTACTTCACATGGTCCATCCATGAATCTAATAGCTCTAGCAAAACGAAATGCAATAGCTAATGGTTATTCTTCTGTAACACCTTCAGCACCAAACGCTTGTATACATTAATCTATAATATATTAACATGCCTTTGGTATATGAGCTTTACATTCACTAATAGCCATAAATGTATGTAAATGATTAGATCCAGCAGAATCTAATAACAATCCAGCATTTAAACTTAATAATCTACATGATTAAAATGCTATTTCTAGATCCCCTAATCTTTCTTAAAAAGCAGAATTATCTTTTAACTTTTCTTTAAAGATAATTCTTTTTTCTGATCTTGTCATCATTAAATCAAGACATCTTTTAGTTAATCCAATTTATCTAACACAATGATGTAATCTTCCACCTAACAATCTACCTTAAGCCATTTTGAATGCTCCTCCAATTTATCCTAATAGATTCTCTTTAGGTATAAATACATTATCAAATTCAACTTCTGCATAACCATGAGGTAAATCATAAAAACAAATAGATGAAAATTATCTAACTATTTTTACTTTTGCATTATTCATATCAACAATTACCATTGATTATGATTCAATAGGATTATTCATATCTTATGAAGATTTACCCATTACTATTCCAAAAATTGCTCTTTCATCTGGAGCACTTGAAACAAAATATTTACTACCATTAAGAATATATCCTTCTTTACAAGGTGTAATTGTACATTCAAAATTATTTGGATCTGAAGATGATACATTCTTTTCACTCATTGCAAAAAACGATTTACATTCTCCTTCTAATAATGGTTTTAAGTATTTCTCTTTTTAATATTATGTACCATATCCTATTAATAATTTTATATTTCCTGTTTCTGGTGCAAAACAATTAAATATTTCATGAGCTAAATAACTTAATCCCATTAATTCAGATAAAAATACATATTCTAAATTTGTTAAACCTTTACCATACATTGGATCTTAAATAAATAAATTCCATAATCCTACTGATTTAGCTTTTCTCTATAATTCTTCAATCTCCACTATTCCTTTATTTCTAATACTCTTTGGAACTTATCTTACTTAATCTAAAATCCTTTTCTCTATTGGAAATACTTCAACTCTTAAAAAATCTTTTATTCTATAATAATAACTCTTGCATCTCTCTGAAATTGGCCAATTAGACCATAATTATCCATCATTTGTTGCTCTCATTTTTATTCCAAAAGGATCTCCTTCTGTCATTTATAAAATCAATTCATAACCTGCTTTTGATAAAAAATGAGAATTCTACTCATACTTCACCTCTTTTGTTTATTTATATATAATCTATTAATCAATTGATTATTTCAGTATTGAAATTATCAATTAATATCTAATGTCTGCTATTTATTCACTAGATCTTGCTCTAAAATAAGCTGTCAATACTTCTTATAAATTAGGTTAACCAAATATTTCTTCCATACCAAACCAACCATCTATCTATTATTATCCATTAGAATAAGGAATATAATATGGTGATACTAAACTAGCCAAATCAATCAATGCATTTCCTAATTATGCCTATTACCAATCCAAAATAGCCAATACTTTAGGTTCTGTTGCATGAAATATTACTTTTTATATTGAAAAGTTTCCATGAATTAAACAAAAATTATCCAATTCTTATTTCACTGGCTAGTTTAATTATAGCCAATATAATAGATCCTCTACATTTGTCGATATCTATGTTTCATGCAATTTATATAAGTTATATAATTTCTTATTTAAGGTTTCATAATGACTTATCTGAGATTCCAATTTTCCCAAACCTAAATAATTTAAATTTATGGAATGTAAATCAGCTAATGTTTTTGCTAATTCCATATATAATAACTTCTTTTCTCTTTGTGATACACACATTAATTGATTATATGTGAAAAGTCTTCCCTCAACATATTCTGTTGCATAAAAAGGAACACCTATAATTGATTGATCTTCACAATAAAATAATGATCTAGGCACTGGAAAATTTACAGCTGATAATTTTTAAACAATCAAATAATCCTTTTCTAATTAGTTTCCCTATCACAATTTATTATATATTTTTACTATTGTTTATGGGTTGCTGGATTTAGTATGTAAAATTATTTTTTTATTTGAGTTCCTAAAAAACATTCATTATCAAAATTACTTAAATATGAGCTTGTATTTTGATGTTGTTAACTGTTGAACCTCTTCAATTTGACTCTCATTTACACCTAAAAACACAGATACTGTTGCTTATAGGTTTAAATAATTAGTTAAATTAACTTTTTGTTGGACACTTATAATCGACATTGCAAAAAATATATAAGTGATATTTTTTTACACAAATCAACGCATATGAGTGCTTGGATTTAACTATCAAATTATGAGGTATCTAATAATGTGTAATCAATTAAATATGATGTCATATGAATTGTTCTCTCTTTGTTAAAGTATTATAAAAGCAATTATTATATGATATATTTTCATACACCCCCACCCCCTAATTTTACAAACTAATTTTAATATTATTATTTTTTAATTCAAACCTTTTTTATTCTTTTGAAGTCTCTTTCAAAAACTACTGTTATTACATATTCCAATTATGAAGTTACAAATTAATACTTATAAATGATTTATGAATTACATATTTCTATTATCTCAACCTTAATCATTTCAGGAAGAAGATTAAGAACATTTATATCCTATAGGATTGTTAAGAAAGGAAATGGCAAATAAAAATAATATAAATAATTTAATTGTCATATTAAGCTTTCTTATATTAAGTAAAATATTATTTTGATTTAATAATTCTTGTTCATTAAATGAGTTGCGATGTGGTACAATTTTATAAATATATTCTTGGGATTAAGTTCCAAATATATAATTTATATTGTAATCTAGTATTCATAGATGTTTATATTAAGTATAATACATGAATAATTCTCAAATCAGTTGCTTTGTTGAATGGTGTAATTTGAACATAATAAAAAATGGTTGAAAATAGAAAAAAACAATAAAAAGAATGTTAAGGTGAATGAAATAAGCTTATTAATGATTGTATATTAATGTGAATATGCGCGAGAAATAGGAAAGCATTTAATAACAGTTATTAAAACATAATTTGAAATTCAAATTCAAATTGAGCATTTCCCCAATATTTGAAGAAATAACAAAATTAATAAATAAAAACAATAATTCGAATTTAAATTAATTGCAATGAATGCCTCTCTTACCTAAATAGAAGATTAAAACAACAACACTTTTTATAATTCTTTAAGAAGAAACTCAAAATCTGTAACTTTTGAAAAAGTCGCAAAACATTAACGAACATCAACATGTGGATCAGGAAGTACTATGGATGAAGAATATAATGAGTCATGTCTAAGTAGTAGTAGAATGGATGAAGAATTAAGCAATCCACAATTCATTAGCAGTTATAGAAAGGATATATTTCGATACATTTTAGAAGAATAAGTAAACTAATTAAATTTATACATTTAGAGTAACTATTTACCTAATTCATGCTTTATGGAATAAACCTAAAAAGATATCAATTAAAAAATGAGGTCGATCCTTATAGACTGGATTGAAGAAGTTCACATGAAATTCAAACTTGTAATTTGTTTCATCTAATATTTTCTAGTCTTCAAACAGTTTATATTTAGCCATCAATCTCATAGATAGATACTTGAGTTACAATATCGTAAAGAGAAACAAGCTTTAATTGGTCGGAGTTGCTTCTCTATTTATTTCATCCAAATTTGAAGAAATCTACCCTCCAAACATTAAAGATTTTGTATACGTTTGTGATAGAGCATATACCAAAGAAGAAATTCTTTAAATGGAAGGCTTGATTTTAAATACTGTTAATTTTTCACTCAATTACATAAGTCCTCTAAGATTTTTAGAATTTACTATTATTGAAAACACTTAAATTGAAGACAATAGAGTATTTCAAACCCAATAATTTCAATTATCATCTTACATACTCGAGATTGCCTTACATAGTTATGAAAGTCTTCAATATATGCCTTCATAATTAGCTTAGTCAGCATTACTCTTATCTAATAAAATATTAGGAATACAATCAGATATCGAAATCACGGATGAATCTAAATATTGTGCCACTTATCTTTTGTAACTTTACTACAACAATTAAAACAATACTTTGTATCCAGCTGTGAAGAGAAAATATGCTAGAGAAGAGCATTTGCAAGTCTCACAAATCACAATTTCAATTTGAATTTACTCTTTGTTTTTTAATTAATTGTGTGTATATATTTTATATCGCTATAAATTTATATCAAATTTCTTTTGACATATCTGTTCATTCTATTCTAGTATTACATATAATAATAAAAGACTTTCGTAGCAATCATATTCTCTATTAGTGGAATACTTATATTATTATTAAAAAAGCATTTTACATTATGTTATCATATATACTAAGGTTTTAAGATTTTTATTAGAAACCAATTCTGTAATTCATTTCATCAATTATTATACTATAGATTTCTTATTTTTTTAAAAGAATCCTTAATATATTTACAGAAGTCAATATAATAAAATTATTATAAGAAATTTTAATAAGAAATTGTAATAGTTTATTATTATAACAATTAATATGATTAAAATGCAATATTGAAGCTTTTAATTATGTAATGATTAAAATATAATTAAAATATTCAATATTATTCGTCATTATAATTTGTCTCTTCATATTATTATTACAAAAGTGTTTCATCATAGTTCTTTTTATCATAAAATATCTTATCGCTGATAACTTCAATTACTCTCTCATGTTTTAATAGATTTTCAATCAATTTTACTCTATCTTCCTTCTCCATCTTAGCCTCTTCATTACTTAGTCTTAATATAATTTTCTTACTTATTTTTGTTCTTTTTCATAATCCTCTCATCACTTCTTACTTAAATTATTTCCTCCTTAATATCTTCAATGCACTACCTCAAAATATTATATAACTCTGTTTTCGCTGAAAATTCTTTAGTATAAAGTTATTTAATCTCTCTTAGTCTTTTTTGTTCCTTTTTTAATGTATCTTAGTATGTTTTAATAAATACAGAATTTCTTCTATAAAATCATCAGTAATTAAATTGTAAATAGATTTTAATTTGTTAATATCAATATTAGAAGTTGAATCATAGAATTTAATATCTGTATATCTTCTTAGAATATTCATTTAATCAAACTATTCTTCTGAAAGAGATGTTTCTAATTATATATCTGATTTGCAAACAGTTCTAATACCAAATATTATTGTATTCACTTAATCAAATTTAAGATTTTTATGGATATTATCATAAAAATTAGAATCATCTTCCACTTAATAATTATACATAATAATATTTACATAATTCACTTTAGATATTGTCTCTCCTCCATACTTTTCTCCACAATTTTTTTACTTGTTCTTTAATAGTAGGATCATTGTATCTTAAAATGGATAGTACAACTGGTGTACATAATTTTGCTGAATTGCCTATTGTTATAAAAATGAGAAGATATCCCTCATGAAAATATGAACAATTGAATCCTGCAATAGTAAAGGATATTGCTTCACATGTCCATATAATACACGAACCTTTAATATAACGATAGTAGTATTTTGCAAAAGTATCCTTGATTTCTCTATATTTTTCATCATCAGGAATCGCTTTATTGAAATACCATATTGTATATAAGGAAATGAGAGTGTATAATAAAACTAAGAGTATACCAGCTAAAGGAAACCCTGGATGATACTTGAAACTACAAGTACCAAATATTGAAAGACCATTCTGATTTGTAAATTTAGCTAGAAGGGGTATTGAAATCATTGCTAACCATGCTATTGAATGCAATATTATAGGTAATTTTGGTATTACTTTAAATTGAGTTTTGAGTGTTAATCGTATATATATGCAAAATACTATATTATATGATACTTCTCCTGTTCCTGCGAAGATACTAAACAATGAATTGATTTAACAAAATGGACCCGAACTTAGAGGATTTTAACCATACATTGTATAATAACAAGCAGTCATAAACCAATGTATACACAAAATTGCATCAGAAAGTGATATAAAGAAAACTATATCTCCAGGCATCTTCCTTGAATTTGGATACTTTACAAAGCTATAAGTGATGAACATTGTGCATAAAAATGCTAATGGGGCTAATTCATAATAATACTCTTCAATACAAACAATTAAAAATATATATTGATCTAAAGGTTACACGATTATCTTTTCAGAAAGTTCAACATCAGTCAAATTATCATAACAATAAAATACATCATTATTACTATAAATTCATAAGGCTGAACTTATAAATTAAAACAAGATTATGAATTTTATCATTTTTATTATTATTAATATTCAATCTATTATTTACTAATTTTATTGTGGACTCTAGATAGTTTCAACATCAAATTTAATATACTATTGAATATTCCAATTATCTAATTAAATTAAGTATTTACTAGTTGTTATCAATATTTAAGATGGAAATATAACTAAGTTAAAAAAAAAATCAGAGTTTTATATATTATTTAAAATAAATACTCTATTATTAATAGCTTAAAACAAATCTCTTAAAATGAATTTAAAACAAATACAAAATTATTTAACAATCACTTAGAAATTTCAATAAAATAATAAGATGAAAGAAATAATTTCTTTACATATAGGATAAGCAGGAATCCAATTAGGAAATGCTTGTTTAGAATTGTACGGTATAGAACATGGAATTTAAGTTGACGGTTAGATGACAATGGATAAGACACTAGGAATTAACGATGAGGCATATCATACTTTCTTTTCTGAAACAGGAAATGGTAAATATGTCCCAAGATCTGTTTTTATTGATTTAGATATGAATAGTATTGATGAGTTGAGAAAAGGTTAGTTTAGAGAATAGTTGGGACCTGAATAAATAATTTCAGGGAAAGATGATGCTGGAGGTATTTATGCAAGAGGCTATTATGGAATTGGTAAAAATATAATTGATGTGACTATGGATAGAATTCGATTACTAACGGAATATTGTATGGGTCTTTAAGGATTTTTAATATTTCATTCAGTTGGTGGAGGTACTGGTTCTGGATTTGGATCTTTATTATTGGAATCTATTACAGAAGAATACGGTAAGAAATCTAAGATTGGTTTTGAAATTTTTCCATCTCCTTAAATTTAATCGTCAATTGTTGAGCCTTATAATACTGTATTGTGAGAAAGTGCTTTGATTGAACATAATGATGTTTGTATATTATTAGATAATGAGGCAATTTATAATATATGCTAAAAAGATTTGGATATAGAAAGATGTTCTTATACAAATTTAAATAGAGTTATTGCTTAAGTATGTTCTTCATTAACTCTGCCATTAAGGTTTGATGGATAGCTAAATTCATTGTTAAATGATTTTCAAACAAATTTAGTTCCTTATCCTAAAATTCATTTTATGCTATCATCATATGCACCAATTGCAACAGCATAAAAAATATAATATGAATAACCGACAATCTCTGATATTACTAATTCTATCTTTGAACCTTAAAATATGATGGTTAAGTGTGACCCTAATCATGGAAAATATATGGCTAGTTCATTGTATTATAGAGGGAAACATTGATGTTCGAAGTGTAAATGTTTAAATTATTCTAGATATATATAATGGGCAATCCTGGTATTTATAAAGGAATCTTATTAAAAGAATATTTAGATAAGAAGTTCGAAAAGAATATGTTACATTATTATAAATTGATCAAAAATAAACAAACCTTTTCTGTTGCAATTATAAGGTTGTTGAGGAGGAAAAACGATGAATTAATCGGTAAAAGAATACATCGAGCTGAAAAAAAAATAGATTAAACCTAATACTATAAACTATAATTGAAAAACTGCTTTACAGATAAGAATTGGAAAGGTTTTTAAGATCTTATATAAACAATGTATATGGAAGATAATCTAGAACAATTGACTTCTTTAGATATAAGTAATAATTTCTTAGGTACTCAAAATGCATTTAATAATATGTGTACCTCAATATCTTCTGCTAAAGGTTTACTAGTTCTAAAAATGGCTAATTAACCATTAATTCATAATTCGTATACAATTGAATTATTGATGGGAAATAGATATGATAGTTTGAAGCTCAGAGAATTCGATATTTCTGATAACAAAGAAATGTTAGAGAAAACTTTCAAAGCACTTTCAGATAACATTTTCAAATCCTGCAAGATAATTACGTTTACAAATAGTCTGCCTTAACAATTATCAACATTATTTAAAATGTTCGTTTTGACTGAAGCATTTGCTGACAAAACTAAAGAAACTAAATAACTTTATAGAGAAAGTAATTTAATTAATTCATTGAAATAGAAAAACTATTCAGAAAACATTATTTATAAGTCTTAGATTTGAGTAGTGTTGAGAATTATAATCGCCATGATTTAGTTGAGAAGTTGCTAATCAATACAGTATTCACAGAGTTTACGAATATTAGAACATTACGTATTTTATTATTTATTATATCAGATGTTCAAAACTTTGATGTTGGAAGATGCCAAGCATATATTAAAGCCAAAAAGAAATTTGTAACTTACATGGAAAAGAAGAAATTAGATGATCCATACTTTAAAAATTATAAGCTTCCTTTAAAACATATAGTCTATCCCAAGTAAACTTATAGAATGGAAATTTAAACAAAAAAAGAATTCTTTTTAGAATATCTTTTTACAGAAATCGGTAGCATTATTGAAATTGAATCAATCGAAATTTAAGCAAGTACATTCAAGTAATCAAACAGAGCAGAAGGATTGTAAGAGGCATGTGCTTTTGTTATTGAAAATACAAATACAAATCCAAAAACTAGATATTCAATTAAAAAAATTTCCATGGATGATGGTGATTATCAAATGGATTTTAATACTATCAAATGTTTTTTATGTTTACCGTCAGTTTAATTAGTGGAATTCACTTATTTCAATGATTGTATGATATTTGAATGGAGTAGTTGGCATCAAGAAATGATTTATTATTGTTCTAAACTAAATGCTAATTAATTTCATAGTTTGAAAATTCTTAAATTTTATAACCTGTAAGATATAACTATAGAGATAAATTAATTTATTTAATTGTTTATATTTAATCCAAAAATATAACTAAAAGAACTTTAATTGATTTAAATAATCACAAGAAATGAAAGTGAAAACTATGAATCCTTAAAAAGGGCAGTTGAATAAAGTGAAAAAGTCACTCTTGAAACATTATTATTGGGAGAATTATATGATGGTAAAGGAGAAGACATGATATTTGAATAAGTGGTCTTCAATAATAAAGTTAACCTTAAAAATTTATCAGTAAAAAATCTTTAGATCTAATAATTTATAAATAAATTTGAAAAATTAGTTTAAGAGAATCAGAATGAGAATCCACTTTAATATTTAACTACTCTAGAGATTGATAATATAAATATATAAACATAGGAAGATTGGAAAAAAGTTATTCAAATTTTTGTGATAAATTAAAGATTGACACTTTAAAATTTAAAAATAAAAAATAAAGTATTAAATTAATAATTCTCTGATGCGCTTAATCAATTACTATATCCTTTTGAGTAAGAACTATTAAACATAATAAAATAAAAAAAACTATCTTCAGGAATTGTAAGAGACTTAAATGAATAAAATATGCTTTCCTCAATATAAAATGAAAGAATAGAATTACCATTTGCTTTAAATTAACTAAGCTTTGAAAATTGTACAATCTAAGACGATGTTTTAAGTGGATTTTTAGTGATATGTGAATTAAAAGATCTCTCAATTATCAATTGTAAGGAATTTTAAGTTGGAATCAAAAGAAGTATGGAATTAATCAAGCGTTTATAATTGGATGAATATTATTCATACAAAATAAAGTCGTTTTCATGTGAAAATACTGTTATTTAAGATGTTGAAACCTTTTAATCTTTAATTAAAGATATTGTCTTAAACTCAAATAGATAATTATTAGAAATTCTCAATTTAGATAATTGTTCTTTGAATGATGATATGATGCTAGTATTATCTAAATAGCTTATGGCAATTAAAGAAGAACAGAAAAAATATAATCGAGTCTTTCTACTTAGAGATCTAAATTTAAGTAATAATAATTAAATGTCAGTAAATTCATGGCAATAACTTTGGGATGTATTATTGAATGAAAGTAAGTTAGAAAAAAAGGTAGATGTACCTTAAGAATAATCTATAATAATAGCTAATCCATCAGTATTACTTAGAACTTTTGAAAAAGAGAAAGATACGATTATTAATGAGACCTAAAAGCTTATTGAATCATCATTGTTATGTTTAAAATAAAAAACACTTTATAATTATCAGAAATTCACTCCTTAATTTCCTAAATAAATAACAAGTTTAATTATTAAAATGGAATTCAAAAACCTTAATGATAATGAGTTAAAATTTTAATATTATAGACTGATAGTTGGTTATATCTGAAAGTTAGTTAAAAAATTTGGAATTAGAATCCTTGAATATGATTGCTTTTATTAAGGCCTGTTTGGAAGCTTATGAATATTCTAAATTCTACTTAGAATCAGCATTAAAATAATCTAAACAAGATCACAAAAGTTAAATAAAATCAATTAAGATCAAATCCCTAACGGCTAATGATGAGGAAAGCACTGAAAAATTTATTTAAATATTTCTTTGTTCTAAACATATAGAATTAAATGTGTTAAATATTTTTGGATGTACTTAACCGATTTTACATCTAATTTTAAAGAATATTGATAGAAAAGAGGATTACAAATTAGAGGAATTATCTCTTCCACATCTAGAAGAGACCCTAGATTTAGAGGATACAATAAATTATTGTTAATGGATAGTGTTTGGAGAGAAAATGCCAATTAAAAAACTTACCTGTTGTCCAAATTTATCTGAAATAAATTAAGAGAAATTTGATCAATTCTCGTTATCAAAAATCAAAGTAGAATCTATTAGTTTGAAATAAAAATAAGATAACTCAAGTAGTGTTATATAATATAGTATGATTCTATTTAAATTATTTTTAAATGGATTGCAAGAAATAACAATAGATAAAACAGATGCTACTTCAATTATTGTAAATACTTTTAATAAAATCAATGATTTTGATAATTTGATGTTAAAGAAATTAACATTTAAAGGGGATCTTAAGATTAATAAAAACTTATTTGAAAAACTGTCGAAATTATTTGAGAAGTTAGAACTTTTCTAAGTTTAAAAATTATTATTAGAAAATGAATTTGAAATTTATGATATTTGCTCATTAATGGATATAAATTAATCTAAAAATCTTAAAATCATTATCAAATAAGTAACATGCAATAACCCAAATGAATTTTACAAGAAATTCCTATTCAACCCAAATGTTGGTATAACAGAAGTGATCTTAAAAGATCCCTCATTATTGGAAAATAAATTTGATATATATGACTTAGGGTAAAAAATAAGATACTTGAATTTACAAATGGGTCTATTGTACAATTCACACAATTAATTAAATGTTAATGCTTTATAAATTATCAGTAAAATGCTTATTTATAATGAATCAAGTAATTTAGAAGAATTAGTATTGCATTAATGTCATTTCAAAATAGAAGGAATACAAGCTCTATGTAAATATTCCAGCACCTTAAGAGAGAAGATTAAAAATGAAGGAAGAGATTAAACAGCTTAATTAAAATTAAAAAAGGCTACACTTTATTATTCACTTTATATTGGAGATGATGGTGTTTAAATATATTGTAATGATCTATTATATTTCGAATACATTAGTATTGAGAGATTTGAAGTTTAAGTAACAAATTGGAATGATGTAATGACTAATAGTTTATGTTTAGCAGCTCAAAATTGGTTGTAATACTAAAAATAGCATTAAAGATAATATAGAACAAAATACCCAATAAAATATTTAGATATAGGAAGAAATGAATTTGTTGAAGAACAAGAAACGTGGTCTAATTTTTTAAAGACATTTGTGTTTACTGATAACACTCCTGATTTAGAAACATTGAACATACATTTTATGGGCTTAAATGATTTAAAAAAAAGATATATAATAGAAGAGTCTCTTTAATTCTTTTCAAAAAAACCTTCAAATTATAAATTTAATGTTAAAAAGATTAATTTTTCTCAGAATAATTCATTAACTCATTTAGGATGGTAAAATTTATTTAAAAACTTAATTAAACATGATTAGTACTATGTTAGATAGTCAAATTAAATTAGATTACATAGCTTAAGTAATAAAAGATAGAGCACTTGCTTCCCCTAACAAAAAGGTACCACTACATACTTTCTTATGTTACAATGTTAGTCTTAAGGATTATGTTTCTGGCTTTTTATCTGAATAACCTCCAAATTACTAAGTTCCTTATGATATACTGTGGAGATAGAATATGATGATAGTCTAAATTTTGGATATTTTGATGGAGTCCCAGAATCTTCTGGTGAATTTTATAAATGTTTTAAAGGATTCTCAATTTGAGGTAGAATATTGTTTATCGCAAAGAATGGAAACTCACAAGATCAAAATTTTCACCTTATCATTTAAATATGTGTGATCATTATTTAAGAATACTAAATTAGTATTATACTTAAAAGGGCAATGATTTAGTAGATATTTACCTAAGTTTATAGTCTTTAGATAATTTTGCCAATCATTTTGGATATATAACTGAATAT